TCCCTCGCAGTAGCTTACCAGGTGAAATGTCTGAAAGTGATGTCGTCATTGCTCACTTCTTCGGATCATTTCAGTCCTCTTTACCGTTTCTTACTTCACGTCTTCCATGCAGGAAGTTCCTGAAGGAACAAAAGAGAGCCCAGGAGGTCCCTGGCAGTTTATAGGTCTCATGCCATTGTTTGACCCACCGAGGCACGATAGTGCAGAAACGATAAGAAGGGCACTTAATTTGGGGGTTAATGTCAAAATGATAACTGGTAAATGTAACTGTTCATATTGCCAATTTTCTGATTGACAGTGCGATGATTGCAGTATTGCGTAGTTCTTCACTCGTGATAGTGTTAATAAAGATCCCTGTACTCCTTGCTTATGCTAGGTGTAGGGGGAAGAAGTGATGCAACTTTTCTATTTATTGACCGTCTGTTTGACGTTTCCCATCAGAATAGTGCTATTTTAAATGAAATACTAGCCGATGTTAGATTTTGTGGGTTGTGATGCACCAATACTTCTCTTATAGTTAGATTGTTATATTTGTGAAAGCTCACCTCAGGCAATTTTGTCCAGACTGTCAATCGTTTATGATTTTCGCATCCATAATTTACTTCATTTTTATCTTTGCCATAATCTTTCTGCGTGCCTTTTCGACCATCTTATAGATTCTTGCCTATTTTGTGTGACCCTGTAATAAAGGTGATCAACTGGCAATCGGAAAGGAAACTGGACGTCGTCTGGGTATGGGAACAAACATGTATCCATCATCTGCTCTGTTGGGACAGAACAAGGACGAGTCAATTGCTGCTTTGCCTGTGGATGAACTTATTGAAAAGGCTGACGGTTTCGCCGGTGTTTTTCCTGGTACTTTATTTTCATTTGTCTTACTTCTTTCAGCTGCCACCAATTTTATTGTCTTCTTCTTTGCAACTTATAATACATATCATTAGATGTATATGCATGGGCATCGCTTTGAAATTGCACTAGGATTACTTCCATGGAGTCTAATAGCCAGCTGGATGTCAGCGGAGGACCAGATTTTATCTGCACAGCATAAGTAGCATGACATCGCCTGCTGCTATTCCTATGTGTTTGACTAATCAAAATTCTGTATCTATACAGAGCACAAATATGAGATTGTGAAACGCTTGCAAGCTCGGAAACATATATGTGGAATGACAGGAGATGGAGTTAACGATGCTCCTGCACTCAAAAAGGCCGACATTGGCATAGCTGTTGCCGATGCAACTGATGCAGCTCGTAGTGCCTCTGACATTGTTCTTACCGAACCAGGCCTTAGTGTTATCATAAGTGCAGTGCTAACTAGTCGCGCAATTTTCCAAAGAATGAAGAATTACACGGTAAGCTGGGTTTTGTTTGAATTTATCTCGACTTGAGCATTCAAGAGTTTATCCGTAGGATGAGTCCACAGATACAATCTCCTCTCTGGCAAATATTTTTTTTTTGGTCGTGCTCTGGCAATTATTGACTCGCAACCTGAAGCATGTGCTATCATGTTTAGGCAGCTTTCTTTTTTCCCCTTTTTCTATTTGGTCCTTTGCCCTTCTTGTTTTGTGCGCCTGGGTGTTTTCTCTGTTTATATCTGTTTCCATTCAGTATCATGTCGTAATAAAAGGAATGAGGAAATTAATTATAGTATCGTTTTTCATTGTGATATATTCCTTGTTCGACTAGACTTACCCAATTTTGATTCTTTTACAGATCTATGCAGTTTCCATCACAATCCGTATTGTGGTAAGTATTGTGATGCTTGCTGGGAACCAGTTAATTGCTGATAATTCTACAGCTTTGTCCTGTTTTTAACCACCACCAATAACAACCTATGCTGTCTTTTTGTAACTGGTATGTCACAATCTGATGTCTCTATCACAGCTCGGTTTCATGTTACTGGCCCTCATCTGGCAGTTTGATTTTCCACCCTTCATGGTGCTGATCATCGCTATCCTCAATGATGGTGTGTCCTCTTTTCATTGCAAATTTCCCACTGACTGCATGAGGCAAAGAGTTGTTTATGATTTCTGTGGGTTCCAATGTCACAAACGAAGGAGAATATATGCGTCACTGAGTTGAAGCATCAAGTTCTCTCCTCGATGCCGTTATGGTGTCAAGCGTACTTTCTTATCTCAATGTTGTATGTTCTGACAGGTACCATCATGACGATATCCAAGGACAGAGTGAAACCATCACCGCAGCCAGACAGTTGGAAGCTGGCAGAGATCTTTACCACTGGTATCATTCTCGGCGGTTACTTGGCGATGATGACGGTCATTTTCTTCTGGGCGGCGTACAAAACGGACTTTTTTCCGGTAAATTTTGTGTTCTTATAGTGAACAATATCGTATATTGCCACGGATAATTGTTCGGATGTTTATTTAGTACTTGATCCCAACAAAGGAGGAGAAAGGTTGAGTGATTTTGGCCACTCCTTGTTTCTTCGACAATGGATACATTACACCTTCACAAACATGGGAACCTATATCAGCATTTTTTGAATTATATGCTCGGGTCGTAGTTGTTCGTTCTTTGTGGTTGAGGCTTCTCTTGTGTCTGATAGGGCATAAGAGCTTGCTCATTGTGATTATTGAAACCGTCATAAGCACGGAGTTCTTTGCACGAGTACGCTTTTCCTTCTGTTTAAGTAGCGTCTTGTGCGCGACATTTTTTCTATACCGAGTTCTTGAATAATCAATCTTTTCGCCGCTTTGAAGTTTGAAAGAGATGCTTTCCCTTTGATTCTAGTCTCTGATTATGGATTTCCTGTTTTTAGCGTACGTTTGGGGTTTCGAGCCTTCAGCAAAAGGATCCAGATGACTTCAGAAAGCTCGCCTCGGCAGTATACCTTCAAGTGAGCACGATCAGTCAGGCCCTCATATTTGTAACTCGAGCTAGGAGTTGGTCATTTGTCGAGCGTCCCGGTCTCCTGCTGGTGGCCGCTTTTGTTGTAGCGCAGTTGGTAAGATGCTTCGACGGTTCTTTTCGGTGACCGGAGCTTGTCGAGCCAATTCGATTTCTTCTGTAACTTTTTTTTTTTTCTACGGACAACAGATTGCTACCCTGATTGCTGTTTATGCAAACTGGAGCTTTGCGGCAATAGAAGGGATTGGATGGGGTTGGGCCGGTGTCGTTTGGCTTTACAACCTTATATCCTATATCCCGCTCGATTTCATCAAATTCTTCACGCGATATGCATTGAGCGGGAAGGCTTGGGATCTTGTCATCGAGCAAAGGGTATGGCCGGCTTTCACTCCACTCCTGGATAAGGAAACCTAGCATTTGGCGAGCAAGCTGACTATGGTTGTTTCTCTGCAGATTGCGTTCACGAGGAAAAAGGATTTCGGAAAAGAAGAACGAGAGCTAAAGTGGGCACATGCGCAGAGGACGCTCCATGGCCTGCACCCGCCTGAGACCAAGATGTTCAGCGAACGCAACAGCTATACCGAACTGAACCAGATGGCCGAAGAAGCAAAAAGACGGGCTGAAATTGCCAGGTATGGCATCATCGGCTACACTTTCCCAACTCTTCTAAGCCAAGGATAGTTTCTTTCTGCTGCTCTAGCTTAGCACAATTTTGCATCTTAATCTGATAATTTCCTCAATCAAGAGAGGACAATCGAGTCGGCAGGCCGGACGCTTGCACTAGAAGATTAGGATAAAGCAACTTATTCTGTTTGTGCAGAAAAACTTTACCACCTCGTGTTTTCTCTCGCTTGGGTTAAAATGGGAACTGTCCTGATAATATATTCGATGCTTGGGAAAAGTCATTGTTTGTTCTGATGATGATGCCCCTCCATGTGACTCGAAAGGAATCGCAACAAAGAGAATCGGAACTGGGTATCGATTTCTGATATTGCAAGATCTCATGGAGGAGCATCTTATATACTATTCATAACAATATCCCATGGAGCATCTTAATTACTATTCATTACTTTTGCACATGGAGAGACTGTATTCAGAATACTACGAATCTATTTGTCCTCGAGAGGCGAGTGCTTTCTGCTTTCGGAGATACTGACTATCTCAACCTTTGTTTCTCGCAGGCTGCGAGAGCTGACTACGCTGAAGGGGCATGTCGAGTCGGTGGTAAGGCTGAAGGGCCTCGACATCGACACGATCCAACAAGCCTACACTGTCTAGAGAGGGGGGGTCTTGGATTTGCTCATACCCTTGTACAGATGTGCTCCTGCTGGAGTGAGGAGTAACTATATCTCTAGCATATGCTATATACATAGGAACTGTGGCATCATATAATCCCTAATGCTTTCTCTCGAATTCGCGACCGTCCCTGTGTTCGAATGTTGATCCGAGAAATTGACATTTACTGATCAGTTTCTGGAGCCAGCTAGAGTCGACCTGACGGAGCTTAGTTTGGAAGCATCGGGATCGACAAATGAAGTGTTTTAGATGATCGATCTAGACTCCACTTAAACTTGAAATTGGTGAAAGCTTCTGCTATGAGTTCTGAGCTCACGCTCTTTCTTCGTCGAAGTTGCTATGTGTGTAAATTGCTCCATCTTAGGCATTTTGGAGTTTGAGCTCGACTCGAGTGTTTATTCAAGCTATACTCGAAAAAAGGGTCGTGTCGAGCTCGCGTTGGAACTAGATGCAGCTGGAACAATTCATGAATTGCTCCTCGACCGGACCGTTCTACGACAAGATTCTTCGGTTCGAATGATTTGGGAAACGAGATTGCAAGATCAAGAACCCCCCCAAACATCGAACCACAAAGCATCCGGCGACAAGTTTCTTCTGGTTTGAATGATCTGGGAAACAAGATCGCAAGATCGCGAACCTCCCGCGAACATCAAACCATAAAAGCATCCTAAGAATGTCAATTCACAAGCAAAGAGATCGGCGAAGAACTCGGAAACATTCAAAACGCTATCCACCAACCAGATCAAACGCGAAACGTTACTAATGCTTTGCAATTCAGATAAAGCAACATTTGAACACGAGATACAGTCGAATCGAAGGGTACGATAAACTCTCTCTCTTTGTTTTTTCCCCTTGAAGGAGATGGGGGCAAAAGAGGAATCGAACTCTCAACTGGTAGCCACGAGAGCAGGCCTGTGCTTCTGGATCTTTTTCTCGAGCTCGTCCTTCTTCGCCCCGACGATCCTGTCCACTTCCTTCCCTTTCTTCACCAGCACGAACGTCGGCATCGCCTGCACCCCGAACTCCCGCGCCACGTCCTGCACCAGATTTCGCACAGAGAGGAGAAAAATCAGCTCGAATTCAACATCGCGAGTGAAAACCTAAGAAACAGAAAGAGAGAGAGAGAGCGGGGAGTCGACGTACGGACAGCTCGTCGACGTCGATCTTGGCGAACTCGACGTCCGCGAACTTGGACGCCATGGCTTGCACCGCCGGCTCCACCATCCTGCAGGGCCCGCACCAGGACGCCGCGAAATCGATCACCATCTCCGCTCCCCCCACAATACGCAACCACCGCCAAAACACGTCAGTCTCGAAGAACCGCCCCGACGTTCAGCCGTATCCCGGAAGAACGAGATCGGAGGGGAAGGAGGAGAGGGGTCTTATTATTAGGCTTACCAGTTGGGAGGTCTCCTTGACGGCGTTGAAGTGGAGCTGCCACCGCGGGGCGGAGTGGAACGCCTGGACGCGGGAGGGCTCCGACGGGGATTCCGACGAGCCGTCGGCGGCCGCCGCCGGAGCTCCAAGGAGGCTGGAGAGGAAGGAGCCCATGGTGGTGGTGGTGGTGGGTGGGTGGCTGGGAGCAAGGAGAAGTCTAGAGGTATGTGGTTTTTGGGATATAAGCAAAAGCTGAAAGGTACAGCCGTAACCGTGGTGTCGCTCGTGCTTGTTCTTTATATAGTGTTTTGGGATTTGAACAATCCAAAGCAAGTTAGCATCTTTTGATTAAAATCAAAAATTATTGTTGACGTTTTGAACCGTCAAATACTTAAAAAGTTATTCGATGACAACCCAAAAGGGTAGTTTGGCTGGCCACGGTGTTTTTGGAAAAAAAATATTCGGCATCTGCAAAAGCCCCGTGTCAATTATTGACGCGACGCGCATTTTTTTTATTAATTCATGCCCAGTAATGAGTTGACACGTGTTAGCTGAGTTGGAACAAAACATAATGAAAATTTTGAGTTTTTTATCTTGTTCTTCCTGTCCCGTTGCAGAGCATCACCACCTCCACCCCCCCTCTCCGGCGTCGCTTGTGGTCGGTCCTCCTCCGTCACGGAGCACCACCCGTCCGGCCACCATCTCCACCCCCTTTCCGACGTTGCTTGCGGTCGGCTCCGTTGTTGCTCGTCTAGATCTAGCCTTGCCCATGGCCGAAAGCTTTGCTCGTCCATCCATTGACGGCAACGGCTACGAGCAACAAAGTCTTCCGGCGTCGTTTGCGATCGGCCCAAGCTACACCTCCGTCGTCGCTCGCGGTCGGCTCCATTGTTGCTCGTCTAGATCTAGGCTTGCCCATGGCCGAAAACTTTGCTCGTCCATCCACCGACGGCAACTCTTCTATGCCCATACTCTTTCAAAAATTTATGGCTCACAACATATTGTTCTTATAGTTATCTAAAGATTGTTATATTAGCAAAGTTATTTACAAAAACGACTTTTGCCTATGGATTCTCATTGTTTGATTCTCATTTCCACTTCAATCTTTTGATGTTTGATTCGCGTCCGATTATTGAAAAGTTTTCGCATCTGGTTTAGGTTTGTTGGATTCAATTGAATGGAAGTGGAAGGTCAAATGAATACATTTTGGTAGGTTAAAAAGCCGGCGACCGGCCTGGATCGACCGCACCTGAATTTAGGGCTTCTTCGGGCCTCCGGGTCGGGAATAGCTCTAAATTTGAATATTATCCCTATTTCGTGCCGAGTCGGTCCGGACCGGGCTTTTTTGACAGCCGACCCATGACTTAAAAAACCCTAGCGCAGCACATTCTCCTCCTCCTCTTCTCCTCCCTCTTCTTCTTCACTTCGCATCTTCTTCTTCCTCACCAGACCATCGTCGCCTCTCTCTCTCTCTCTCTCTCTCTCTCTCTCTCTCTCCATGGCGAGTAGGCCGAGTCGGTGGAGGACCTAGGTGCGGCTTTATGGCCGAGGGCATCGGCGGAGCCGCTGCTGCTCATCAAAGCCCGGAGTGGCTCGAATTCAAGGTCTCGACGTTGCTGAGTTCACCATCTGAGTCGCGGCGATGCTCGACCATCCTCTTAAGGAAAGGGAAAGCCCCTGACGCGCTCTCGTGGGACTCCGGTTCTCTCTCTCTACTACCAGAAGAAGAAGAAGAGACCCGCAATTCGAAAGCCGTTGGAAGATGGTCAGATTAGCCGACGAACTCGGCACGGCAACACAACTCTAAGTAGAGTTTTGCGCGGGCAGTGAATCTACGCTCACGGAGGAAGCATTCACGGTCTGATTCGGCTTAAAAATTGGATCTTTATCAGAATTCACCGGGACTTGAGTACGCCGTGGTATTCGATCCGGTCCGGACATTATCCGAAGAGGAAGGAGGAAGGGACGACGACGCAGCACTGTCGTTTCTGTTGGGTCCAGACATTATCCGAGTTCCTCTGCTCCTCCCCCCACCTGCAAACCCAAAAACCCACCCCGACCCGACCAGGATTTTCGCTTTGGGTTCTATGCATTTTGGGCCGGGCCAGGTCAGAGAGAGCATGTGCCTCTTGTGATTTGGGTCGGGTCGGGTATCATAGAAACCCGACCTGACCCGACCCATTGACACCCCTACATTTTGGGTATAATTGCTCCTACTCTAACTATTGGTTAGATGACTCGAACGTGCAAGCTGGCCGTCGAAAAATTTTGGCTGATCAATAAGCTTGGGTCCTTATTTGAATCAAGATTCACTCTTCATTCTCTTTTGAGAAAACGGCTCCATATTAAGCCTTTATTTGAAATTTTGTCAAAACCACAAGGAAAAATATTGGGGTTAATACCATGAAAAATTTCAAATTGGTACACATGTGAGAAATTTACCTCAAATTAATTTTTTGAAAACCAAAACTCCCAAATTGATACATTTGTGATAAATTTATCTCAAACTAATTTTTTGACCACAAAAAACTCCAAACTTGTACATTTATGACAAATCTAACCTCCGTTAAATTGGATTAATATCACGAAAAATTGCAAACCGGTACACTTATGACAAACGGAGGTTAAAACCCCAAACTGGTACACTCGTCATTTGCCACGTATCATCCAACTCAGAAATTTGATAGTAAAATTTAACGGAGGGTAAAATTATCACATGTGTATCAGTTTGGAGTTTTTAGTGATCAAAAAATTAGTTTGGAATAAATTTATCATAAATATATCAGTTTGGGATTTTTCGTGGTATTAATCCAAAATATTGTTATCCGACTCTAGTTTCCGTAGATTTTCATGGACCTCCGCTCGAATGCTCTCCGAAAATTAGAGAAATAGAGAGGGGGAAAGTTGAGGACTTATCGTCGTGTTGGATCATCAGTCTGAAGATCTACTGAATTGGACAGTCAGGCTAGTAGCGTTACTTGTTATTAAGGACTTAACTTTTTAAAAAAATTTCTCATTTAATAGGAAATCAAACCGATGTTTGTTTTGATAAAACGGAAAAATAAATGTTGAAAATTTACATTCTGAATGTCAAGTGCTGAAGTTTTTAAGTACTGAAAATGAAAATGAAAATTTATCTGTTAACATATCAAAATTAAATAATAAATTAAGTCAAAAAATCATTTTTGCTATTTTTTTTAGTAAATAAAAACAATCTTTTACGTCAAACACGGAAAAAGAAATGACAAGAAGGATGGACTTGTTTGCTATTGCGAGGATAATTAAGAAATTTCACCAAGTGTGGGCTGTGCAGGTTAGGGCTGCGCATGATAACGATTTTGTGCCCGGGAACAGATTCTGCTAAAAAATGATTCTTTTTTATTCTGTGCCCGGAATTGATTCTGAGCATTTTAAGACGTTTGTTAACGGCCCAAAATTCCATCCCTGAAATAGAAAAAGAACAGAAATGCGTTTAGTAACGCCACAAAATTTCTTTTTATTAATAATATTTTTAAATATTTTAATATTTCTTTCTTTTTTTTTCTTTTCTTTTTTCTTTTCCTCTTGGCCATGGTCTGCTTCGCCTACCATGATAGAAAATATTTTTTATTAATAATATTTTTATTAAAAGTATTTTTTCTTTTTTTTGGCAATGGCACAGTCGCAATACCATGACCAGGTAAAATATTTTTTTATTAATAATATTTTTTATTAAAATATTTTTATTAAAAATATATATTTTTTTTTTTTTTGCCATGGCACAGTTGCCGACCATGGCTGGTAAAATATTTTTTATTAATGATATTTTTTATTAAAATATTTTTATTAAAAATATACATTTTTATTTTTTTGGGCCATGGCTCGTCGCCGGCCATGGCCAGTAAAATATTTTTTTATTAATAATATTTTTTATTAAAATATTTTTATTAAAAATATATATATTTTTTTTTGCCATGGCCTGGTCGTCGGCCATGGCTGGTAAAATATTTTTTTATTAAAATATTTTTATTAAAAATATATTTATTTTCTTTTTATGGCCATGGCGCTGTCCACTATGGAGTAAAATATTTTTATTAATAATAATTTTTTAAAATATTTTATTCTCGTCGAGATCTGGCGAGGGCGGTCCTCGGGCCGGACATTAGAAGCTAAATTAAAAACCAAGAAAAGGAAGAAGAAAAAAAAATTGATTCTCAAAATTGTTCAAACAAACGCATTTCTGTTCCCAAACTGATTCTGGGAACAAAAGAACAGAATCAAATATTGTTTGGCAAGTTGTCATGCGCAGCCTAGGTTCAAGGAAAGGAAAGTGAGCAATTAACTTTTTATCCTTTTTTGATAGCCGATTTTACTTTTCTCTTTGGGTTAATACCACCAAAAACCCTAAACTGCTACATGTGTGACAATTTTACCCCGAACTTTTTTTTTTACCATAAAAAACCCCAAACTGGTACACATGTGACAATTTCACCCCGAACATACCCAAAAAAACCCCAAACTGGTACACTTGTGACAATTTTACTCTGAACATACCACAAAAAATCACAAATTGATACACATGTGACAATTTTACCTTGAACTAAAATTTTAATATTATTTTTTAATTTTTTCGAATTTTTATTAATTTTTTTGTTTTTTCTTTTGTTTTTTTTTCTTCATTTTCAACCTCTGGCCGTCGCCAGGGACCGACAGTAGCTCCGAGCGAGTCGGCCCGTGCCTTCTTTGTGAGGCCGCCCTCGTCGGCGTCGGGCCGCCCTCGCCCGGCGATCGGGCCGCCCTCGCCGGCGTCGGGCCGCCCTCGCCCGGCGTCGGGCGGGCGACCCTCGCTGAGTCGGGCGAGGCCGACCTCGCTGGGCGGGCGAGGGACGGCCCTCACCCGGCGCAGCCGGCGAGCCGCCGCTCGCCGCCGGCGAGGCCGCCCTCGCCCGACAGCCGGACGGTCGAGCCTCACCCGGTGGCCGGCGGGCCGACCTCGCCGGCTTCCGCCTCTGGCCGGTCGCTGGTCCGGCGACCGGCCAGAGGTTGAAGATGAAGAAAAAAAAAATAAAAGAAAAAATAAAAAAAATTCGAAAAAATAAAAAACAATATTAAAAAATTATTAGTTCGGGGTAAAATTGTCACATGTGTACCAATTTTAGGTTTTTCGTGATCAAAAAAATAGTTTAGGATAAATTTGTCACAGGTTTACCAGTTTGGAGTAAAATTGTCACATGTGTACTAGTTTGGAATTTTTTATGGTAAAAAAAAAAGTTTATGGTAAAATTGTCACAGGTGTACCAGTTTGGGGTTTTTAGTGGTAAAAAAAATGTTCGGGGTAAAATTGTCACACACGTACCAGTTTAGGATTTTTGGTGATATTAATCCTTTCTCTTTTAATGCTCCGCTTATTTCACGAAAAATGAATAATTTAAAAAATATTTTCCCCAAAAATATCGCTTGTATGGCTTAAAATAATTAACCGGTAGAAATATTTTCATTATCCATAACAATTTATATTTAAATATTTTCGTGGACGATGAAAATATTTTTTATTCATTCATTTTTTTTTGTAAGCAATACAAGCTATTGTTTCTATGAAAATGTATCCTAAAAAGAGCATAATCGTAAATCTTTTACTCTCCACGATGAAAAAGCCTAAGTAAATTTAGTACTGTTTTGTTCGGACAAAGAAAAAACTATCTAATTTATCATGAAAATTGTCGCGAAATTTTACTCCACATGAGAAATTACATAACTAGACTCAGTGCTACGCTCGTGCCCGAATTCTAGTGACGAACATTATTTCCGGCTAGTAAACGATTTTATTTTTTTTGGTCTGAAGTACACGAATTGTTATTATTATTATTATTATTATTATTATTGAAGTACACGAATTGACTCGGTTGAATTCATGAAAATATTTCCGACCATGACAAACATAAGCGTTCAAAGTAAATGACAAAACACTCCTTATCTTGACGATAGCACGGATCAAACGTTTTCTGCTGCAGCAGCAGACAAATCTCCGGCGCTTTTCGCGTCGGCCCTCGCTCTCCTCGCCCCATCGAACACAAGCTCGACGTCGATCTTCTCGACCCTACACCACGTTCTGCGGCCGCGATCCCCGCGGTCGCAGCAGAAGTACGTGTAGAACACCACCCCGCTGCTGGCGACGGCGATGGCGTGGAAGACCACGGCCATCCACGCGCTCGCGAGCTGCGAGAAGTGGTAGGCGAAGCCGAACCCGATCGCGGTGGAGAAGACCCAGGCCACGAGCTTGAGCGTCTCGCGGCGCGGCCCCCCCTCCGTGGGGGGCGACCTCTCCAGCTCGGTCAGGCAGTAGTCGAGCAGGAGGTACGCGAGGTACACGAAGACGATGAAGACGACCATGGGGGTGTCCCCGTTGACGGACGCTCGGTAGATGGTGTTGACGCTGTTGATGGTGAGGAAAGCGAGCGGGATGGAGCAGGGGAGGCCGGAGTCGCCGCCGCCGCCGCGGCGGTTATCGACCCCGGCGTCCGACGAGGAGACGGGAAGCTTTTGTCGCCTCTGAGCATTTGGGTGCGCCATCTTCTTCTTGAGAATTCGAAATGAGATAAAAGAGTATAGTCGAGGGAAAGTGACGATGTGCGCAATGTTGCGAGAGCGTTTGGCCTTTAATAGAAGTGGACGTGATGGATGGAGTCGACCATAGTAGTCAATTCGAGGGTTTCCCATGAACTTGCCTGGCAAGGACGGGCTCGACACCCTCCAAGAAGCTGCCCCCCCACCTTTTACTCGGTTTTTGAGTCCCTTTTTCAAGGGCAAGGCCAAGGAAGCTACCTAAGCGGGACCCACGTGGCTCCCTGTCAGGAAGGACCGCTATCTCCGATGGTCCAGATTCAGTTAGTATATATACCACGATCGAACGAGATCGGTGGGGCTCGTCCACCTCGAAACCTTCGAGTTTGGAGCAGACGGGCTGAACGGTTACGACTCGGACCGAACATTTCGTGATAAATGTGGGACCGTCGGGTAATACCCACACGAGATAATTGCGGTAGTCCGCTCTCCTCGTCCTTCTTAATTTTTACAAGAAAAAAAAATGATTAATACCACGAAAAACCTCAAATTGATACACCTGTGACAATTTTACCTTCCGTTAATTTTCGTTAAATTTTACAATCAAATTTCTGAGTCAGATGACACGTGACAGTTGATGGATATACATGTTTGGGATTTTACTCTCCACTTGTCACAGGTGTATCAGTTTATAATTTTCGTGATATAAATCCAATTTAATAGAGGGTAAATTTGTTAAGTTGTACCGATTTAAGACTTTTTATGGTCAAAAAATTAATTTTGGGGTAAATTTATCTCAAGTTTACCGATTTAAAGTTTTTCGTGATATTAACCCAAGAAAAAAAAGGGTAAAGTACTTGGATCATAACGTTTGCTATGATTGAAGAAGTGCCGAGAAACTATTGGGCTCTTTTCGTTGGCTCGAGAGAATGATCGAGTTGTTTCCAAAAGACGTGGTTGACGTGATCAAGCTTTGTGTTCTCTTTTGTACGTTTTTGGATCGATTGGTTTCGGCCAATAGTTTGCAGGTAACGCCCAAACCAAAAGAGGGAATCCGAGTCAAATACGAGAACTCTCCTTTGGAGATTGAAGCATACGAAGTCAACATATCAGAAGGGAACTGCAATGGAAAACTGCAAGCAAATGTCCAGTGCGTCTTCAATGGATCAAAGGGCGAAAGAGATACCAGAACCAGCGCTAGGGCATTAAGCCCGCTTTGCTTGTATTCCTACGGGGCTTGAGCATTCACCCTACACAACTCATTATTATGGACCGATTAGAAGTGATCATGAGTCTGCCGAACCTCTCGAGCTGGTCGAACTAGCCCGAAGGGTGCGATCGTGTGGGTTTGGATACATGATTTCCTTGTCGGGTCCGGTCCTTCCTCCTTACTCGGCGTAAGCCACATCGATATGTAGAAATTTTGGAATATTTCCTTGTTATGGATTATGTCTTTCTCAAATCCGGTCTGGAGGAAGTTTTCTGGAATGAGGCCTTAATTAGTGGGCATATGCTCTAAAGATCCCCGACCTCCGACGACGACAAATCGAGGTCGATCTCTAGTCGCCGGCCTCGAATTAGCCTCCATGGGAGGTTGCCGAGGTGTGTCGGGCTGGCCCTATATTAGATTGCTCAATAGTGCCTTTCAAGCCAACATAGTATGCTTGGGTGTGATATTCGGAAATTTCGTAATAATAAGTAATTGACGTCGGAGGTTTTCCATGTTCGAAAATAATACTTGGATAATAAAGATAAGTATTATTTAAGTTAGTAATTGTGGAGACGCGTAAAAATCGTTGTTAGACCGTAATTTGCAAGGCACGGATTCGGGAACGTAATCGTTCCGAGCTCGACGTATTCAAAATTCTAAATGTTGATGTATATGTTAATAATAGTGCGGTATTAATTAAATTACTGTTATCTTGGTAATTAGTGGGTAATATTATTATTAGTTAATTTTGGTTAAGTAGTGTTAACCATTTATTTTAATTTGTCATTAAGGGAAAGGGGGGAGATATTCTCTCAAAATATCCCTTCTGGACTCTTCTTCTCTCACGTGGCTATTAAAGGAGAAGCTTGACCGAATGCCATCTTTCCTCCTAAGCCAAGTTTCTTATTTGACACCTAGTCTAAGCAATCATTTTCCTTGGCTACTGCTCCTTCTGATCAAGCCCTTGATTTCTTACACCTGGCCTTGATGGAAAGATGAGGTGCCACCTGTGAGTGTAATGTATTTATCCACCTCAACGTATACTCCTCTGTCTCATTTCATCCGGGTAACATCGAAGGAACTTTCATCCCAGACGGAAACTCTTTTTCACTGTCTATCTTCAAAGAGTTTTTACCTTCATCAACGCCCAATCCGAAATCTATAAGCTGGTTTTGGGCGTTCATATTTTAGGCAAGGTAAGTAAAGACTCTAGATTTAAGCTAAGTAAATCTACTGACACTTTTTAACTTGATTGCTTGAGAAATGCTATTCTGACGTGTGATAATAGTGAGGATATTGATTTGTTTCTTTAAAGTGCGATGGAAATCGGCAAGTGGAACGGTTAAATATGAACGGGTGAATGTTATCTTTGAGATGATTGTTGAATTTTTCTTGCTGGTTTTATGTATGTTCAAAAGGGTAGAAAATCGTTTTACTCAAAATAATGATTCTGTTTACTTTTGAAATGAGCAGATTTTAGCCTCAATCTGTATACCTTTGAAACTGCTTAGACTTTACTGTAAAAAATCCGGTTCTGTATACTTTTGAAACTGTTCAGACTTTACGGTCAAAATCTAGTTCTATCTACTTTTGAAATTGCTTAGACTTTACATTATGAGTCTGAACTAGCTTCTGAGTTTAAACTCGCTTCTGAGTCTGAACTCGCTTCTGAGTCTGAACTCGCTTCTAAGTCTGAACTTGTTTCTGAATCTAAATTTGCTTCTGAGTCTGAACTTGCTTCTGAGTTTGAACTTGCTTTTAAGTTTTGAGTATGAACTTGTTTTCTGAGTTTGATTACCTACGGTTCATACTCGCCTATCTAGAATCGGTATTTTCTAGACCAATAAAGTTTTATATCAAAATCTGGATATGTGTACTTTCTAGACTTAAGTAAACTTCAGCCTTTTGAGTCTAAATCTTTATTGCTTCATACTTATGGGCTCGAATGATACACTTCATTTCTCTAAAGGATATGTGATGTGAAAAGAAGGATAATATATGCATGCAAATACTTGGTTATCATGGCTTGCATGAGGATAATATATGTATGCAAACACTTGATTGCCATGGCTTGCATGAGAATAATATAAATTCCGTCGCCCATATAATGGTGTGTGATGACGCCTCATGTGTCGGGATGCCCCGGGAGTGTTCGGGAGGATGAAGTAATGAACTTAACGCATGAGCATGATTGTTTTACATCATATGCTTGCGTATGGATGAAAATATTGTGGAATAATGAAGTGGTTTGATTTGTGTGGCATGTCGAACGGAAAAAGGTATAACATGCATTCGAGTTCTATGCATACTATTTGTTATGCATGCATGTTGTCTATGCCAGGTGAAGTGGTAAGCTGATTTTCCTAACTTAAAACTAGAGATTTTATTTACTAGGCCTCGACTCATTTCATTATTTTTCAGACATGTAGGAATGGACAATCTGCTGCCAATGTTTACTGGTTTCCCTAGACAATATGGTTGCCAGTATGTTGATATGCTTTTCCGGGGGCGGATATAGTTTATACTAGGTGTATGTCTACTGTATGGGTTGATGTGGGACTTCCGGAGTGGGTTCCTCGTCGATTTATGGCATAGCAATGAACCTCAATGGCGACTTGGTTGGGCCGTTACGGGATTTTGGTTGATATGAAGGCGGTGACACCTACGACTCGTTGTAAAGTTTACTTTTGTGCGGGCCGTCTTTGGAGTGGATTGTAGCATGAAGATAGGCAACCATCGACCTACCCAGTAGTTTGTTTTTGTGATTATATGATGTATTGTCTGGGCTTTGTAATTCTGATAAGGGTTATTAATAAGAAGCAAAAGTATTTTTGTTTAAACTTATTCAGACTTTAGCTTTCGCTAGCCAAATTATTAATAATATTAATTGGCACGTGTCGCACGTGAATTTCTGAGGTGTCACATTGGGTGTCTAGATTGTAAAGCTCATGATCAAGTCTACATTCAATGGGGTAGATTGCTGTGCACAAAAAGATTGTGGAAGATTATAAGTGTAAGACAAGGGTAAATTTGAAAATACGACATATCCCAATAATAACATAAAAAAAGATTGATTTTGTGTTGAGATATTGCATACTTAAATTAATGTGATAAATGTACTAAAAGTTCTAAAACTTATTATAAAAGTATAATTAAATTTTAAAATTTACAAAAAGTGCATTCCAGTTATAAAACTTTTCAAATTGATGTAATCGAGTTTTTTCATTAATTTTGTCCAACTTGGTCAATGAAAATATTGACATGACTTTTTTTATTATTTTCTTTATTTTACGTGGCGATGACACGTCTAAAACAACGTCATTTTGACCTAAATATAATTTTTTATTAAAAATTATTTAAATTAAATTAAAAATAAAGTAAACTTAGAAAAAAGTGAGAAGCAGGCATCCCTCGCCCTCGCTGCTACTTCCTGGCGATGGTGGGACGACCTGGTTCTCATCTTTCTTTCTTTTTTTCATTTTTTTCATTTAGATAAAACTCAGATATATATAAAAAGTTGTCGTTTTAACACGCTATTTCCTGTTTTAGCTACATTTTGTTACATAAAAGAGATAAAATATTAAAAAAATCACCTAAGTATTTTTCATTAATCTTGGACGGAATTATCGAAAATACTCGATTGTATCAATTTCATGATTTTTTAAATTTAATTATACTATTTGTAATTTTTACGATTTAATTATATTTTTATAATAAATTTAAGGACTTTTAGTAGACTTGTTAAAACAGGAGACAGTAACTCCACATTGACACACGAAGAAGCGACTCGTCGTTTCCACTTCCGACCTGACCCGCCGCTTCTAAAACGAGAGCTAGTAACTCCACAGTAACACAGGAAGTGACTCGTCGTTTCCACCTCCGCCCCGACCCGCCGCGAGCTCCTCCCCCTCTCCGGCGTTTCCCGTGCGCTTAGGCTTGAGAAGCCGCCGGAGCCTCCCCCCGGTCGACATGGCGTACGGAGGCGCGCCCGCGGCGGCGGGCTCCGCGTCGGCGATAAAGCAGGTGAAGCTGGAGAAGGAGAGCGAGCTGAGGATCGAGGTCGGCCACGAGACGCCGCTCCGCATCCGGCTCGTCTCCGGCACCGCCGAGATCTTCGGCACCGAGATGCCGCCGGAAATCTGGCTCTCTTTCCCTCCTCGCCACAAGTTCGCCGTGAGTTGCCGCGAAAGCTCTGAAATCTAATCGCTTCTCGTGAAATCGTTCGCCTCCTAATTCCCATGTCGCTCGCAATAGCATTGCTTCTAGTGATCAGCGTCTCGGAGATACCGCCGCTGCGATTTTTTCTAGGCATTTCATTTGACCTGTCGGAGTCGTTAGGTTTTTGAAAAGCTCTATCTCGAAGTGCGATGGCTTAATTTTGTATTTTCTCGATGGAACTTTGATCGAGCTATTGCGTTCAGTTACGTCGAAACCCTAGCTGCTTCTTTGCTGAGGTTGGTTGAGGCATTTCTGCTATGAATCTGTCCTCAGGTTTTTACTTGGTATGGGGCTACTATTGATATGGATGGTGATACCGAAACCGATTATACTGCCGATGAGGTACTTCTTTGTACAGCATTATCTTTTTTCCTTTTTCGCCCCCCTAGTTTCGATGTGTTCACTAATGCCGTCGGCAAGTAAATGATGCTGCTGGCTTTGATTTCATTTAAGTTGCCGAAAATTTTGGTGATCGGTCTTGGTTTTGTAATGCGTGCTGTCAGACACCGATGGTCAGCTATGTGAATGTGCATGCCATACTTGATGCGCGTAGAAGCCGTGCTAAAGCTTCAGCATCAGATTCTGAATCTTCTCAGGTTTGTTATTTATATTTTGCTGCTGCCAATTGGTGATTGATTTATTATTGGTACTTTTAGCTTGGATGCCATGTTAGTTTGTGATTCCTCTCCTTTTCCCTACTAGCAGTCTTCATGGTGCAAGTCCGGCTACCTATGTCTGTGATTCATTTTGACACATGATACCATTTGCCTCTTTCATGATAATTATATAATCCCATGTGCATAATCCAGGAAGTTCCTGTTGTTGACAGTTGACACTACCTCATTATTGGGTGACTAACTAATTATTTGGTAGGAATTCTCTGCATGTGTAAGTAATATTGGAAATTTAAAGCCTTCTGCATATTGAAATGCGCGACTCTTTATATTTGTCTTCACTTTATTAGATTCAGAATCTTCCATTCATATGAGTGGAAGAGTAAGTGACTCCTATTGTGTCCTTTTAGGATAAAGTGGTGTTAAATTAAGGTTGAATTTTTCGGGATCACGATCCCTGGGCCATTTTGTTTTTTGCCGCTTCAATATTTTTTGACAATGCAGAGAAGTTGTCAAAACGCTGGAATTTCCTATGACGTTTAGTAGATGATATACAATTTGACACAAACTATTGGGATTTTATCTTTTTAGTTTGCGTATCAAAGAACACATATGAAACATTTTATGGGTCAAATTTCTTTAACTTTGAATGGCGAGATTATATGCTGCAGCCAGATGTGTGGATATCATCAGGATGTTGTTCTATATGAGAGGACCTTGTATTTTGACATCTGAATTGGTTTGATAGATAAGCTAATTTGTAAGATATATCTCTTGCATGTTAAGCTTGCCATAAATTTATATTTAAACACTATATTGAAAAGTTCTATGGCCTTAATTCAGTCATTTTGATCTATGCAATTGCAAATGGTGGGGTCTTGATTTATAGCACGAGTATCTTTGTGTATGGGAATTTAAGTTTGTTAACAAGCCAGTTTAGAATGCTTTTTTGGGTGATGCAGGGTCCTAGAGTCATAGTCGTGGGACCGACAGATTCTGGAAAGAGTACGTTAGCAAGGATGCTTCTTAGCTGGGCAGCCAAACAGGGCTGGAAACCTACTTTTGTTGACTTGGATATTGGTCAAGGATCTATTACTATCCCCGGTTGCATTTCAGCTACCCCGATTGAGTTGCCCATTGATCCAGTTGAAGGGGTTCCTCTGGAAATGCCCCTAGTTTACTTCTTTGGGCACGTAACTCCTAGGTAGTAGAGCTTGTTACTTCACTTCAAAAGAATATCATGTTACGGTAAACTTGGTTATAATTGTTTTGTAATCTGAAGCAACTTTCTCGTGGACTTTCAAATTAAATATTGTGGGATCATACCTGTTGTTATCTGAAATGGAAGCTGCAATAGTAGATTGGGTACATGGCTGATCAAGTGGAATTTTCCATGACTTATCTTTGATTGAGTGTGATAGTCTGCTTGTTTGGAGGCTTGCATGCCTTTAAAATTGCATGACAGCTACTGGTTTTCTTAGATTTAAAATGTGAGGATTGGACAGCATAGTCATAACTCCTGAATGTTGGAAACACAATGACAATGACTTTTACTGTTAATGGAAATATATAGAAGGCAGGGTTGAATTTTTTGTTTTCACTTTTTTGTCGTTGTAGACTGCTTAATTTTCTCTTTTTCTTCCTTTGCTATACTGTCACGGACTCATGGTTCATGTTGTGGATCTTATCTTTATTTAATTATCTTTTCATATGTACTTAATATGGATGTTTTATATTCCAGCAACAATGTTGAATTGTACAAAGTGCTTGTGAAGGAGCTTGCTCATACTCTTGAGAGACAGATCTCAGGTAATGCTGAATCTAGAGCTGCAGGCATGGTGATTAATACAATGGGATGGATAGAAGGTGTAGGCTATGAGGCAAGTGATTTACGCTGGCTCAAAGCTATTTGTGCTGGTCTGAGCCACATTCTTGTGCTGATATTTTTTCTCCCATTTCTGCAGTTGCTTCAACATGCAATTGATAGATTCAAAGTCAATGTAGTGCTGGTTTTGGGTCAGGTTGACAACTATCTTTCTTCTATCCTGATCTATTTTTCATCCGTCTGTGAATTTCTATGGATATCATATATATGAGAAGCAAACCAGAGGCATCTTGATATAATCTTTCCACTGGAAATTTAGGATTAAAACTCTGGCTTCACTTTTTTATCTACTTATGGTTGTATTCTGTTCAGCAGTTTGTAAACACTGTAAAGTTGACAAAAAAAAACCAACTTAGCGAAAGAACCTCAGTGGCTTTAGCTTATGCAAGGATTAGCTGCGAATCTTTCTACTTCCAGCTGTGTGCATGACCATAATAATGTCATTGCTATGCCAGAGAGAGAGAGAGAGAGAGAGAGAGAGAGAGAGAGAGAGAGGGGGGGGGGGGGGGGGGGGGGGGGGGGGGGGGGGGGGGGGGGGGGGGGGAGAGGGGGGGGGGGGGGGGGGGGGGGGGGGGGGGGGGGGGGGGGGGGGGGGGGGGGGGGGGGGGGGGGGGGGGGGGGGGGGAGAGAGAGAGAGAGAGAGAGAGAGAGAGATGAATAAGTAAGACCGGCTTCAAAGTCTATCAATAAGTAAGACCGGCTTCAAAGTCTATCACTTGAGTACTCTCGTTAGGGGCTTGGTCTTGTGTTTTGGTTTTATTGTAACAAACAGCATTAGAGAATGGATAATTGCGGTGTGGAGAACATGTATCAGATGGAGTGAGTTATTGACGGAGTGATGTCTCGGGAGTACGAGTATGGTAGCAAGTTGGTGGACTGTGGCCTCCCACATCACCAATTAGTCGTACATGTGGTATGTCAGCTCCTGCTGCAGGTGTGGCTGCATAAGCGTGGTGGATTTGGTGACCTAAAATTACGAACGGAGAAATAATATTGAGCAGTATATGAGTAAGAGACCTGCCTAAAGGTTACCAATAGATAATTTGACCCGCATTTCCAGACTAGGTCATTTCATTTGGTATTTTGTTTCTTGAAACATTTTTTTTCCATGACTTAGGTCATCGAATTTCAGAAATTTTGCCCCAAGTGCTGTAGTCTCCTTTAGTGTTTATGAATTTTAAACCAACATTTTCAAGCGATAGTGTAACTCTTGAGACGCCTTACAGGAGAAACTTTTCAGCATGCTTAAGAAAGATGTACTTAAGATCAATCCTAATGTGGACGTTGTTAAACTTCAAAGGTCGGGCGGCGTTGTATCCAGGAATCAAAAATATCGTCAGAAGTTTCGGAGCCTTAGGACAAGGGTAAGTAGCAATCTCTCTGGTGTCAAGTTCGATTACTCATGTTTTGATGCAAATCTAGCCTGTTCACTAGAATTGGTTTGGAGACGACGTGCCATTTTTTGCCCGGTTAGATTTTGATGAAATCGAGGTAAAAATACTCCTAGGCATACTGGTGAACTATTGCAAGCCTCAGCATGTAGATAGTAGGAGCTTCCTCCAAAGGAAGCGCTCCATACGCCTGTTATTGGGTCCTTTTTAATGCAAATCGTGGTTAATTACCAAATCATGTTTGATGTTGTGGTTTATTTTATGAGTCCAGTGGAAGTATATCATCCTTCTCTAATTTTCTTTCATTATTTCTCTATGATGGTGATGGAATTGGTGATAACCTCCAGGAGTATTTCTACGGCCTGACAAATGATCTATCTCCACACGCAAACATTGCAAATTTCAGCGATTTGTTCATTTATCGAATTGGTGGTGGTCCACAAGCTCCGCATTCTGCTTTACCTATTGGTGCAAAGCCTGTTGCTGACCCTCTGAGACTAGCCCCTGTGAGTATCAACCGGGATCTACTCCATGTGGTTCTTGCTGTTTCATTTGCCACAGAACCGGATCAGATTGTTTCGAGGTAACTATCCGTTGTCTTGTGGATGATGTTAAGCTTCTTGAGAATGCCGTTGCGGTAAATTCTGTGGAGTCTAATGTTATCTTCCTTGTGGTGGAGGAGGGGTTTTGGAGGAGGATTCTATGTAAGACTGACTTCCTTTCGACATCTGTGGATGCAGTAATGTTGCTGGATTTATCTACGTGACGGACGTTGACATACCGAGGTTCGAATCTCATTGTTTCTAGTCCAAGCCATCCATTTACAAGTGTACTTTCCTCCCTCCTAATTTGGACTTGTTAACTGTTGCAGGAAGAAAATCACGTACCTTGCGCCATCACCGGGGGAACTCCCGGGCAAATTTCTCGTAATGGGAACCTTGACATGGCTTGAGACATGAGCATGGGTACAAGGTTGTAACTTCTAAACTTAGGGCTCGACGCGAGCATTGAAGTTTTTCGCATCATAGTCTGAGTTTCAGGATTTGTAGTCGTCATATAGCGCTTATAGCTTGACTTATCCGAGCTATAAACCTGTTTTCGGTGTAAATCAATCTTCTTATTTGTGAGTAGGAGTTCGAATTACAGTTGTTATGATAGTGTGTGCAAACACATCATGGCGGGTGCAAAATAAGTTAATTTCAGCTGTTAATATATATATATATAGACATAAATGTTATTGATGATAAAGGGATATACATACATGTACGTGCGCAAGAACTGAAAAGAAAAAGAAAATTAGACTTCTAATGTCAGGTTTAGAAGATGAGGGGTTGGTCTTCAAAGTCAAATGGAAATGAGTAACTTAAATAAGAAATTTTATATTGAAACTATTTTTCGGGTTTATCTTTTATCCAAAGTTGATATTGATTAATTGAATTGAATGCCATTTCTAATGACAAGCGATAATACGTAGTCTATCATTCAAAAAGAAAAAAGAAGGTAAATCCTTAATACTAATAATTATCACGACGGCTGGTCAAAATAGCTTCGAAATTTAGGTCCAATTTCCTAAAAAATCCCCAACTTTACCCTTTGTCCCAATTATATCCCAAACTTTTTTTTGTCTTATAAAAAAGGGAAAAAACCACCAAAAACCCCAAACTTTGCCATCTGTGACACATTTACTCCTAACTTTTTTTTGTGACACCAAAAATCCCGAACTTTGCTTTTTGTGACACATTTACCCCAATGTATTTAGTCCATGGGCATTTTCGTCTTTTTGCTTTTTTTTTTTTTTTCCTTTCCGTGAGGGGGCCTCGCCGGGCGGCGAGGGCGGCCCTCGCCGGCGTCGGGCGAGGTTCGCCCTCGGCAAGCAGGGCGGCCTCGCACGGGCGGCGGCGGCCTCGCCCGGCTCGGGCGAGGTCGACCCTCGCCGGCGTCGGGCGAGGGCCGCCGCTCGCCCAGCAGCGGCGACCCTCGTCGGCGTCGGGCGAGGTCCGCCCTCGCTGGGCGGCGGCGGCCCTAGCCCGATCGGCGAGGTCGACCTCGCCGGCGTAGAGCGAGGCGGCCCTCGCCGGCGTCGGCGAGGTCGTCCTCGCCGGGCGAGCGAGGGTCGCCTCGCCCGATCCGGCGAGGCCGCCCCGCCGGCGTCGAGCGAGGGCCGCCTCGCTCGCCCCGGGCGACCCTCGCTCGGCGCCGGCGAGGGTCGCCTCGCCGATCTCGGCGAGGGCCGCCCGACGCCGGCGAGGGTCGACCTCGCCGAGATCGGGCGATGGCCGCCCTCGCTCGCCCGGCGGCGGACCTCGCCGACGCGCCGGCGAGGGTCGCCCTCGCCTGGGTGAGCGAGGCGGCCTCGCTCGCGCGAGGCGGACCTCGCCGACGCCGGCGAGGTCGCCCTCGCTGGGTGGAGGGGCGGCCCTCGCCCGGCTCGAGCGAGGTCGACCCTCGCCCGACGCCGGCGAGGGTCGACCTTGCACGAGTCGGGCGAGGCCGCCCTCGCTCGCCCGGCGAGGGCGAACCTCGCCGGCGCCGGCGAGGGCCGCCTCGCTCACCCGGGCGAGGCGAACCTCGCCGACGCCGCGGCGAGGGCCGCCCTCGCCGGATCTCGGCGAGGGCCGCCCTCGCTCGGCCCGCGAGGCCCCCGCAGGAAAAAAAAAAAAGTAAAAGCAAAAAGACGAAAATGCCCATGAACTAAATACATTGGGGTAAATGTGTCACAAAAAGCAAAGTTCGGGGTTTTTAGTGTCACAAAAAAAAGTTCGGGGTAAATGTGTCACAGATGGCAAAGTTTGGGGTTTTTGGTGGTTTTTTCCTTATAAAAAACCTCAAACTTTTACTTTTGTCCCAAATCTACCCAATTCACTTTTCGTCAAATTTTTTAATATTATTTTTTAATTTTTTCGAATTTTTTTTATTTTTTCTTTTCTTTTCTTTTTCCTTTCCTTTTCTTTTTTTTTGTTTCACCTTTGGGCCGATCGCCGGACCGGCGACCGGCTAGAGGCGGCGAGGCTCGGTCCCGCGGCGTTGAGGCGGCGAGCCTCGCAGTGGTGGCGAGGCTCGGTCCGCGGCGTTAGCGAGAGCCTCGCCGTGGCCGGGCGAGGCTCGGTCCGCCGGCGTTAGGGCGCCGAGCCTCGCCAGGGCGCGAGCTCGGTCCCGCCGGCGTTAGGCGAGGCCGAGCCTCGCGTGGCCGGCGAGGCTCGGTCCCCGGCGTTGGCGGCCGAGCCTCGCCAGTGGGTGGCGAGCTCGGTCCGCCGGCGTTGGAGGCCGAGCCTCGCCGTGGCTGGCAAGGCTCGGCCTCGCCGTTCTTTGGGCGAGGCCGACCTCGCCGGTTGCCGGCCGGGCCGACCTCGCCCGGCCACGGCGAGGCTCGGCCCCCCGGCTATGGCGAGGCTCGGCTCGCCGTGGCCGGCGTGGCCGAGTTCTCGCGGATCTGGCGAGAACTCGGCCACGCCGGCACGGCGAGGCCGAGCCTCGCCGGCTATTGGCGAGGTCGGCCCCGCCGTGAACCGGGCGAGGTCGGTCTCGCCCAAGACGGCGAGGCCGAGCCTCACCGGCCGGCCGGGGGCCGAGCCTCGCCACCACGGCGAGGCTCGGCCCGCCGGCTATTGGCAAGGTCGGCCCGCCGACTATTGGCGAGGTTAGCCTCGCAGGCCGGCCGGCGTGGCCGACCTCGCCGGCCCCCGCCTCTGGCCGGTCGCCGGACCGGCGACCGGCCAGAAGGTGAAACAAAAAAAAAAAAAGAAAAGGAAAGGAAAAAGAAAAGAAAAGAAAAAATAAAAAAAATTCGAAAAAATAAAAAATAATATTAAAAAATTGGACGAAAAGTGAATTGGGTAGATTTGGGACAAAAGTAAAAGTTTGAGGTTTTTTATAAGACAAAAAAAAGTTTGGGATATAATTGGGATAAAGGGTAAAGTTGGGAGTTTTTTAGGGAATTGGGCCTCGAAATTTAGGCGATTACGAGTCCTAGTTCGGGGCAGCATTCCTCGATCTGTATTAGCGTATGCACATGACATACCTAGCTTGATAAGGACTCTAGTTGGACACAATCCGAATTAAACTTAGATTAACAGGACCAATATATATATTTAAATTAAATGTTGGAGCCATAGACGAGCAATTTCAATCTTCTTCGTCGACTCGCAACGCGATGGCAACACTAGCAGCATTACCCGCCGCCATGGCCAGAATTCTGCTTTGCCTCTTCGTTTTGGCTCGAGTTTGCGCGTCGATCGGTTCTCGACTCCCGATCGACGACGGCAAGAAATTCTTCGACGTCATCGAGTACGGCACCGTGGGCGACGGTCGGACCGACAATACCAAGGTACTAAATGGGTTTTTCCTTCTATATTTGGATTCGCTCACTAGGTAGAGCATGATGCGAATAAGTTTTGGTCGATCTCAGGCATTCAAGAAGGCTTGGAACGATGCATGCGAATCTAAGGCGAGCGTGCCCACCATGCACATTCCTCAGAACAAGACGTACTTGCTCCAACCTTTGGTATTGCGGGGTCCTTGCAATTCCCAAAATCTCACTATTCAGGTACTCAAAGAAAAAATCGTCATCGTCGGCCGGCCGACCCGAGTCTATAATTTCTGCGAAAAATTTGATTACATGAACTGTTGTTCCATGTGCATTAAGATCCACATTATTTGTCTACATCGAAATTACATAAGATCGCACATATTATTCCAAAAAAATTCTTCGCAACCCGTAAAATTTCGTGAGCGTAACAATTACATGAAGGCATCGTTCTAGTATTTATTTATTCCGACACTCTCCGTCGCGTGTAAGTTCGACTTTTGCCCGGGAATTGAAGCGTGACAACATATAACGGAGAAGGGAAAGCACAGGTCCACAAAGATTTAGATTAGAACTTCCCGTTCCCGATACCGTGAAAGATTATTTTTAGAACTTGGCAACCAACTGTTCTAAAAATTTCGAATTACCGATAAACGTGGTTGTTCAATGTTTATAGTATTCTCAGACACAATCCCGAAAACAATCGTGCGCTCCTTTTTGTTTTTCCAGATTGATGGTACGCTGGCGGCACCGGGCGATCCGTCGGCATGGAAGAAGCGCGACAAGAAAAGTTGCCGGCATTGGATAATGATCGGTGACGTGGACGGCCTCTCCGTCCTTGGATCCGGCGCCATCGACGGTAACGGCTCCGGGTGGTGGGACCACTCCCTCTGTCGCCATCGCCACGTCGTAAGTTCCGACCTTAACTCATTTAATCAATTATTATTATTATTATTATTATTATTATTATTATTATTATATCGTCCTCCTAAGTCCAATTTTTAAGTTTTTTTTTTCTCCTCTTTGCAGGGCTGCGGCAAGAAACCAACAGTGAGCAAACACTTTTCTCTAGCCCTGAATATATGTTATATTACTAAATAATGCACCCAAAAAAAGGAAAAAAAAATTCAATTTCACTTATTTTTTGCGTGTGCATTTTTTTTTTCGTTTTTTCAGGGGCTTGTAATAGACAAGTGCAACGAGGTACGCTTGAGCGACTTGACGTTCAAGGACAGCCCGCAGATGCACATCGCGATCGAGAGGTCGACACGCGTGCGCGCCGCCAACCTCACCATCACGTCCCCGGGGCACAGTCCCAACACCGACGGTATCCACGTCCAACGCTCTCGGCATGTCCGGATTCATGACTGTCGCATTGGAACAGGCACGTAAACATTCGATTTGTTAGAATAACTAAATATTAAACCGCGCCTTCATCTAACGGTTTAAGCTTTCAGAACGATCGACAGTGGTCTCACAAAATCTCACAATATTCATGCTCATTCTCAGTTGAATCCTCGGTTGTTTTCGCTCACGTTTGCATCTGCATTGTGTTTGAATTGATGCAGGCGACGACTGTATATCGATCGGCAACGGTTCGGCACATCTCGACATCAGCCGGATCACCTGTGGCCCGGGCCACGGAATAAGGTACGTAGGATCAAGAACAGAAACTAGGAAAAACTGAATTCATAGGTTTTCAGTTGTTAGTTTCTTTTGTAGAATTCTGAAGTGGGTTCTTGTTTGTTTTTACTTGTGTTGTAGCATTGGAAGTCTAGGAAAGCATGGATCGCGCGAGACCGTCGAGGACGTGCGCGTTAGGGATGTTCACTTCGTGGGAACTTCTAATGGAGTTAGAATAAAGACATGGCAGGTAATTTGATCTTATAATGTATGCGTTCGCTAAGGTAGATAACCCGGGGTCGAAACTTTCTAATGGCTAGGTAGTACCGATTTTCGCGAATCTGTTGCGATCGACATTGTTATGCAGGGACGGAAAGGCTACGCGAGGGACATTGTATTCGAGCGCATCACGGTTAGTAATTCGTCCCATCCCATCATCATCGACCAATTCTATTGCGACCACCAGGATTGCAAGAATCAGGTGAGCACGCCGTCGCCGTACTCCGTTCGTTCTTAATGTTCACTCTCTAAGTATAATGTACGCATGAATGATAAGCACTCCCACATAATTGGCGACGTAAGAACAAATATCTTGTGTTTTGCAGACATCAGCGGTAGAAATAAGCAATGTGACGTATTCGCAAGTGAACGGGACGTCGCGCGCGAAAGCAGCGGTGGAGTTCGCATGCAGCAATAAGCATTCCTGCAGAGATATATTGATGAAGGACATAACTTTGAATTTGACAGCGAAAGGAAAAGAGACAACCTCATACTGCTCCAACGTTAGGGGGCGCAGGAACAGCAACATCTTCCCCAGCATCTCTTGCTTGGAAGAAGATGAAGATCTTTAGTCCCTTTTGCATTGCATCGTCTCGACTTTGGTTTCGCAAGGCGGGATAGGGTCATATCGGAGATAATATCATGGTTCGATGTACATATATAATCTGATGATAGGTGAAGGTTATTATTTTTGGTTTATCCATCACCGGCGGATAAATCTATTTCCATGTGCCATGATCGCTCAGGCCATACGTGAGAAATGTTTTCACGATTGGCAGTAGATAGAATAAGTACTCAGTCAAACACGATTTTAAGTTTTTCCGTCTTACTAACTGAACTTATGATATCTACTTGGAATAGTAATGTGAATCCATCGTTTATATTAGGCGTTTTGTAATCCATTACGCGTTTTAATTTCTACGTACTTGTGAGCTAGTTGAGTTTCGCGAAATCATACCATTTTCAATTACATCAAAGGTATGTCTCAGTAAGATTGTATTCTCTCTTTTTCTAAATGCAATCTAGCAAACATTCAATTATCTTACGTGTAGACGATATACGCACTTAAGTTCGAGAATTTAGATCTTGATCCACAAAATAACACCAAGAAAAAAAAATATTGCTGCATTCTAAGATGATATATTGGTAATTCTTGTTGCTCCTAGAGATATTACAACATGTATGGAGTTCATGTGCGTGTAACAAGTATGTGCTCTAAGAATCGGTAAATCTCGAACGGGCAGTAATCGGATTTACATGAACTCGGTCCATGTAACAAGTTTTCCTTTCGCTTCATGATTTGATATTTTTTTTTCCCCTCTTTTTATGTTCCTACGTGCATCCTACTCTAAGTTATGTCTTATACAGGAGTTTTAAACTGCTTGAATCGTCAATGCTATTGAATTAGTTATGAGGCTCCCCTTATCTGCATCTGCAAATCTTGCTGCATAGCTTGCCTTGTTGCAGAACAATTATACTCTGCCAAATTCTACAGAGACAGCAAGAGATAGTAAACTAATGATATTGGTATGGCAATGAGCATTCCAAAGACCACCCTGTCAAAAGAGAAGGAAAAAACAGATCATTCTAAAGTTATAGCCAAAACAATGTCTTGAATACATAAACTAATTAACTACCCTGTGCTCATGATTTCTGGATATACGTTGTACTCTTTGGCGAAAACAAAGGGAACAATTCCTTGGGGTAGAGCCGCCTGCACTACACGTTCACCAATTAGCCATCTCTTTAATTCCTTCGACGACGAAACATTCTCCAAAAGATCAATGTGACAAATACCAATGACAAGTTACCTGCACAATTGCCACTTTCAGTAAGGTTTCCCTGAGTCCGACAGCAAAGGAGGAGATGGCCATTAGGCCTGGCCCAGCGATAAACTTGGCGGCCATGGCCACCGCAGCCAACCGAGCACCACAAGCGACTATTCGAGTCTGTGATGCCATGAAAAGACCTATTGAGTGAAGCATATGCAAGAAGAGTCAGGAGAATGTTTTCCTTTAGCAAGCAGAAGCACTAATTGGGTCTAAAATTAGTACCTAAGCTGAACATGGCCATTCCGAGTCCTCCCTGTGAGAGTATCTGTATTGAGCTATTAACAATTGCTGGCAATTCAACACCCCATCTGGAAGGAACACTCAAGACTGTGAGTGCTAATAATGATTGCTGACGAAATAAAGAAAACGAAAACAACAGGTGGGATTCTTTTGTGAACAAGCTTATGCAGGTTCACCTGAAATGGATGCTTGCCCAGATGACGCCCATAAAAGTAGCATACGTATTAGGGTTTCTCATGAGATTCTTCCCTACTTTGAGAAAAATGAGCAAAATCTCGTACTTTCTTCCATTTCTCAACTTCAACTCACCTCCTCCATCTTTTGTTGCATCCTCCTCTGTGGTCACCATAACCCCTTTAACCAGAAAAGCAGACTCCTTAATAGTAGCAAACTTGATAAGAAGGTATGTCACTCTAAAAAGAAAAAAGGAATGCTATAACATGATAAAATAAGAGAAACATGAATTGATTACGTTAGGCCCCACTTGGCTGTAGCTGGCAATCTCATGCTATTCTTTTTTAAAATCTATTGTCTTGAATACAAGCGAATTGTGAATGCTTCACCTGTGGCTTCTGATGAGGGTGTAACTGAGGCTGCCTTTGTTGCATTGAGCTCGAATAGGAATAGCAACAGATTGTACCAAAGTATGCTTTGTAAGAAGACTATCTGAGCAACGAGTGAAGCTGCCTCATCTCCATACATAGCCCTCAAGATTGGAATCCCCAGGATTAGGGTGTTTGGCAGCGTGGACAGAGAGACACCGGTTATGATCCACCTCAACCCACCCCCGGAGCGGAACTTCGCCACCCCTCCCAATATCAAAATCGTGAGGATCTTCTGTGCGAAATCCGCTAGGACGAGCCTGAGATTCATCTTGTATAGATTGGTGGATGAGATCACTTGGAACGACAACAGTGGTATGGAAAATTTTGCCACAAACTTATTTATTCCGGCACATTGGTCCGGCGTGAAGAGCTTCCAAAACCGAACCGATATAAATGCTAGAATCATTGCGACGTATAAAGGGACCGTTGCTGCCACGGCATGGTAGACATCGGTCAGGGAAATCATCCTAACCGGCGCCCGAAGAAGGGATTTGTCGGCGAAAATGATATTTAGAACTGTACAAATTGCTGAAAAGCAGGAGAGGCTTATGTGCTGTCTTGGTTGGTCTGTACAAATCTTGAAAGTTGATGCTGGCAAGTCTTTATAGTAGCCTAATTTAAAGTTTTCTATTAAACTGCCTCCCCTTAAAAATCAGAATGGCCGTACTTTAAAATACCAATCGACTTGGTAAGGCCCCAATTCGTTTTTTGCGCTTATGATGCTGCACTTTGGCACTTTTAGTACTGTTGGAAGCAGCTTTTTCCTAATGAAGCGGGGAGGGGTGGGTTTCTATTTGTCACGACTACGTGTGAAATACTGACATTTGATTCGGTTTGGTAGGTCGTTTGTCCTCTAGATGAAGATTTCCACTATGCTGAGACAACTCTAAACCCTTGACCAGTAGGCTTTAATCTTTCTATAGATTTCAGATCAATCTTTAATTTGCGCATTTTTGACTAAAGCATCTTTATATTCCTATATTTTATTCAGGAAGGACAAACCGGCAATAGATTATAGTCAGGTCGGCACAGAACAAATCCGTTATAGTTATAGCTAGGCCTTTTAGATATGAGACCCTTTTTTCTCTTTTGAGCTAAGCAAATGAGCTTAAAGAATAGCGATACGAGATCGCCTTTTCGAAGGGACGTGGTGAGTCTCTTGGGTACTTAGGGGAGGAGGAATAAAGAAGTGAATTGCTAGAGAAGTAATAGAAGTACCGAGGGCTACAATAACCATGGTAAGGAAGAATTTTTGCTAAATTTAGTCGAAAGTAGGGGAATAAGTGTGCAGAGGAATTTGCTTTAAAAATGTGACTCCTTCCCATTGCGCAGAGACGTCTCTTTCGGTCATGGCGCATCCTGTCCTCACATGAAAACGAAAAGGGGACCCTTCGTACATCAATCCCGACATTCCGCTTACGAAAAGTATGAATCGCCACATGCTCGACTTAATGTTCGCGGCACGAGTGCTAAAAGCGGAGGAGACACTCGTGATCTTGAAGGTCCGACAGCGATCCAATTGGCGAGGGTATACATGCGTCCACCGTCAACAATTCGATGCAATGACTAGGCATGATTTCCTAGAATTTGTTCTGTTAAGACTGTAGCCTAACAAGATGTTTTCTTCCTTGGCCAGAAATATTCATTCACCCGAACCTGTGCTGCTTCTATCACTACCCTATATGTGTCGGATACTGCCTGACGTGGGCGGAACCTAGAGATTGCCACAATTAATGGTAGATAGTCGCAGCTCGAAGACGTACAGTCGGGTGCTTAGATGACCTCAGACCCGTTCGTAAAAACAAAAGAAACAAAAGGGACACTTCATTGATATACAATCTATGTAGAAAAAGGCTCATGCCTGAGAATAAGATTAATGCATAAGCCATATGTGGCAACCCATGAGCACCCAATGGTCGTTCCTCAGAATTACTGGCTACCAGTGCGCCATAAACATTACAACATATGGATTTCAATTTCAGTAGATATTCACTATAGCAGGCTATGACGGAACACATCCATCGTAACAGCTGGTACAACTTGTTTACCGCACGAGGGCTACTACAGCTACATGTGAGAAAATACTAGCGTCATGAGCTCAAGAGAGTGCTCAAGTTTCCCTCATCAGTCTGAATCTACATTCATGGCTTGTGAAGTACTCTTATAACCGCTTAGCTCTTCTTGGTAACGTTTTTTATCCGCAGCGGCTTTTGCTACATATGGCTCTTTCTCCTCCGCTGCAATTTTAATAAAAGAATAGAATCATTAACAGTCATCAAATCAAAATCACTTTCAGAACAATCGCAACCTCAAGAAGCAGTAATAACACATACCTGACATGCCCCTCCACTTATCCGCAATTTCTCTTGATACATCCCCAAAGGAAAGCCCAGGATTACTTCTCTTCATTTTCTGCAACATCAACTATGTTAGTCGCAAATTCTGTGTGTGTGTGTGTGTGTGTGTGTGAGAGAGAGAGAGAGAGAGAGAGCAAAAATCTATGAGGAGGTTAAACATTTCCCAAATCACTAAGCAAAACATGGAAATAAAATGAAACAGCCACCGAAGCATTGTCTAGTCCACCTTGCACTGCCACAATTATGCAAACAGATTATCACTACTTATTTGGATGAAATAGGGCAAGCCATTCACCTTAGCATTCCTTCCTTGTAGCGCATAACCAAATAGATTCATACAAACTGTCCCAAAAGTAGTGAATGACAACATAATGTAAGTCATGAAACGAACCTCGCTTTCCATCTGCAAGAAAAAGTTATAGCCAGACATAGCCTTTTTTGGCGCATTAGGATCTTTCTTCTTCTGTTTCTTCTTCTTTGACCCATCTTCATCTGCAGCTTTTGCTTTCTTCTTACTTGATGATGCTTTGACTTCTTTTCGAGATTCCTTTTTCCCGAACTTCTGAAATTAAGAATATGTTGTTAGAGATACAACTACATGATCTCTGTGACTATAACACCTTACAGAGAAAAGTCATGCCTCCTTCTCATCTCCACTTTCACTGGCATCGGACTCTTCGTCTCCAGAATCATCAGTAGGAGATCCTCCATCATCCTTATCAACGACAAAATCTTCATCCTGCAGAAAGTACAATATCAAGCAATTTTAACATCCAATGGAAATAATATTTGCAGGAACTTGGACACAACAGAATCACATGAAGATTCACATCCATCAGCATATGGAAAAAAAGTTCAATTCCTCAGAATTAAACTGAATCTCAATATAATATAAGCAGAAATATGCAGCCAAGGAGGAATGCAGGAAACTACGGATATCCTCCTATGAGATTAACATCCCAATCAGGGTCAAATCCATGCAAAAAAAGAACACCCACCTCTTCATCACTTTCGTCTCCACCGGCTTCATTCCTAATGCGCTCAAGATGGAAATCAACTGCATCATCATCGTCATCCTGAAGAACACGTGCTACTCCATCAGTGGCCTGCTCTCCCAAGTTCATGATCTTCATCCCCTTCCCACTGCATGTTTAAGATAATCAAGATACAAACTCATCCAGAAAAGGCTTTATAATATGAAAAGGATGTCCATATCCACACCTGATGAAGTTAAAAAGATTATGGTATTCATTCCTCTGGATATTCCGAAAGAGATGTTCTTGTTCAGTTTTCAATCTCACTAAAAGATCAAAATAGTGCATATTCGAGCCCCCAGCAGCATGCCTCTCAAATTCCACATAATCAATCTATGAAGAAAGAAAAGTGAAAGAGGTCAGAAGGGGAGTAGATCCACAAGAGTAATACTTACATTGATGTTGATTGTGGCACCATGAATTCAATCAAAATAACGCACAAAATTCATTAAAGCACACCTCCTCGTGAAGGATCAAGGTAGGAGGCTTGGGTAAAAAGAAGAAGCTTTTCTCAAGTGGGTACAGGACTCCATCTTCAGCTTTGAGTGATGATTTAACTGCATAACCATCTTGAGAACTACGGAACTTTCCTGGTTTCGTGACTTTGGCACCGGATAATCCACGCAAGATGGTGGTGAACACTTCATGAATGAGTCCCTATGAAACGGACCATATACACGAAAAAGAATTGGAAAGATAATACCAAAAGTTATCAAGAGAATGTCATATAACCTGATCTCCACAGAGTAATACCTTATAAGATGGTTCCAGCTTGTCCTTGTACTTGGTGTTGAATAAATCATCATTCATAGACAATGTGCTTTGAACCACATAGTCGGTTTCAAACTGTGAACATCAGCAAACAACCCACATCATTAGCATGAAAACTAGCAACAACAAAGCTGCTGATAATTCAAATGTGAAGTACCTGCATCACAATATGCGGATACAAAGTTTGCCCTTTGCGAATTGGTGGATCAAGAGTGATGATAACAAATGTATGCGGTTGGTTAGACTGAACCCAAAAAAGAAAATTCTGTATTAGTTCCCAGTTATTTAATATTACCTTATCAATCCATTGTTTCTTGGACAAGAACATGGTGAACAAGTATGAACATATTGCTTTCAAAAAAATAAATAATTGTGCAACCATGCTATCAAAAATTTATTCATTACAAGACCATGTAAAAACAGTTGCAAAATCAGTACACATGCTCTACATACCTTTGGTAGCAAAAATAAGCGAACAACACTGCTGTACTGAATTTTGAAGTCATTTGCCTGTCCTTGAAGTCGCAAGAATGACAGGTGAAGTTCTACACTGTAGCGACCCCTGTAAGTTTTAAAATCTCCATTAACCAGATGTTTAAAAAAGAAGCCAGCATATGGCATGTATCACTAACATGTTTTTTTTTTTTTTGGTTGCCGTATCAGTAACATGTTCAAGAAGAGATTTTAAAGTAGTGCAGTTTATGACATGAGCTGTCTACCTTGGAGTAAGAATGGCAATTCCCTCAAATGTAACAACAGCATCTTCACCTCCAGCCCCAACATCTGCCACCGACATGATTCTGTCGCGAAAAACCTAACATAACGAGGCAGGAAATCATGAGGGAAGTAAACTGCTTAATAGAAATGAAGGTCATTAAACTTCATATGCTCTCCACAAATCAGGAATAAACTAACCTGAGCAGGAGGACGATTTTCATCACCAACGAATTGGGTGTTGGAGTTGGGCACATGAAATGTAATTTCCATCACAGAATCTTTCTGTAGTTTCAAGACACATTGTCTCAGTAAATAAAAATCAAGCAGGAGCGTAACTCAAACCTTAAAATTAGTAAGCGGACCTCATTAGCCCCAGTTGTATCATCAACATGAAACTCCAAAATGACATCATTCTTTCCTTGAAGCTGTGTTTGTGAGACATCTGCCAGAGATACCTCAAATGCTTGTCTTGAGCCCACAAGAAATGTCAGCATATTACCTGTAAATGGCAAGTGACGTTATATCGGTCATTCATTGAACAAAATGGATTTTCTTGTCTTGGATACAGTAAATAAATAAACACGTGATAAATTCTCGCAAGGTAGCATCAAAACCTCGAAGGTGCACTGATTACAGAATGACATATCAGATGGCCTCAAATGACACAGCTGGATTTTGAGAAAATCAACCAAATCATAATTAACTTACAAGGCAGTTCCGCATTATGTTATGATAAAAAGCAGAATTTTCAACATTGTGATCTACATACTATTTGGCTGGATTTCTCTTTATCAGTTAGTTCTTTACAAAGCATCGGCCTTCATTAGAAAAAAAAAGGCAAAGGTGAAAAGACAGGAAGGCAAGAAAAGGAAACCAGAGTTCCTTATCAAATAAAACATTGCTATTGACAATGGGAATCTAATGAAGAAGCAGGAGAAGAGTTTAGATGATGCCTATTTGGAAGACAATATCAACAAGAAACTACACTCTTCTTTATAATTGACATCATGGAAAGACTATTGATGTTTATCAACAATTTATACACACATACACAGAAGACAATCTTGGAGATCCGAAGGTAAGACTGAACGATACAACGATAGGACTGTGGAAGTCATGTTGTCTATTCCCTCATAGAGAAGAAAAACTGAAAAAGTTGGAACTTCGCTGTCGCGACCAACCTTCCATTTGCTTAATCATGTTAATCGTTGAGACATCTCAACAATGCAATTTGAACTACATTAGAGCCTATTACACAAAAAGAGAGATGCTGATCATTGGTAAATGAAAATTTTTCTTCAATAAAAACAAATCAACGACATACAGATAAACAATGAAGCCATAGCAATTCTATTAAGTGGGGAACATCATAGACATTTCCCTGAAATAGGAAAAGAGGAGATCACTGACCACTCAAATCAACTTCTCCCCAATTCCGGCCACTAACAGAAAGCTGTTTCTCCTCCGGAGTTATCCCGCAGGTATTTTGGAAAAAAGTGGTCAAACTAGTAACATCCTGCCAAAAGGAGTTCTCAATTATGCCGGTTCATTTCCAGGCATTATAAGCCTACGCGAACAATTTCAAAGAGAAGAAATGCAATGATACCTGGTCTCGGAATCCAGTGAACTTATAATATAAGCCATCTTTGGTTCGAACACCTAATTGATTCGTCCTCGGCACCTTCGTCCAGGTCACCCCGACAATGTCAGATTTATCGACTTCAACTGCTTTGCCACCTCCTTGTCTCCTCCACGAAATCCCTCCCGAAAAAATCTTTATCTGCCCAGGGTTCTGCAACGCAGATCGAAACCTCAATAAGGGACCTAGGGTTTCACTATTGGGTAAGAACCAAAAAAGCAGCTTTCGCCCCGCCAAAGTATTAATCCCACTCTTCTCAGAACGAGGCAAAAGAATTCAGGACAACTTCAGAAACGAGGCTACGACCAGAATTCGACACAGCCGCAGGGCAAGGCAAGGGGCCAGATTAGGGTTTCGGGCCAATGCACGAAAACGAGACACTTTCTACCAAAATTCCTCTGAGCCACCGGAACACCACCAACAGGGCCAACCAAAAAAACTCAACTCGACCAGACCATCACCTCCAAACGGAAAAAAACCCACAAAAAAAAAAAACACCATCGATTTAGCATTTCACCGGCGGCGATGGACAGCGGCGGCAATACCCAGAAGCCGTAAAAATCGTCCTCCCGTTTATGGACGGCCGCCGAATGCGGCGGCGCGACACGCTTACACTTCCCAATTCGAACGAGCGAGGGTTTCGCGAGATCGCATCAGGACCGAAGGAAGAGGCACCGCGACCCCGAAGTCCGAGAAATCGCCGCCCTCCCCCAACCCAACAAGAAAAAGGGAGCCGGAGAGAGAGGCGTCGAGCGAGGTGGACGGGCGATTGGGGAGGAGGGGAGGGGGGAACTTACAGAGCCTCCACGGCCACCGAGAGAGATGTTGTTGAAGAGGTGACCGTCCGACATGGCGTCGCAGCTCTCTCTATTCGAAGCTCCGGCGGGAGGACGGAAGTGCGCGACAAGGCACAGAGACTGAGCGAGAGAGGGAGGCTTTTATACGGTAGTGGCGCCAATGGGGGGAGGGAGGAGGGTGGTGTGGGCTCACGTTTTAGTAAGGGTGTTTGGTTCCGGGCGGTCCGGTTTCCATCTAAGAATCGAAAACCGGACTACCTGCATTTGGAACTGGTGGCGTGTTTTATTTTTATATTTTAAGCATGTAGTCCATAGTCCCATGATTTTTTTTTTTTTTTGGTCAAGGTCCATAGTCCATGATTCATTGCAATATCTTTGTGAGAAGGATCCGTATGTGTTAACAGAAAATGCATAAGGCCCATCACGAGGGCTATCAAAACGACCCCGTTCCATGCAAAATTGATCTCCATGCTTCAAAATGAGCTCATAGATAAAGGGAAGGGTAAGGGTTGTGGGTGCTTAGGGCTTTCTACGAGCCTCGCGAATTTGTAAGAAATTTTTTTAAAAAATTGGTCCGATTCAGATTGGAGCATTGTTCACGCATGGAACCTGGGAGCGGTGCCGTCTACCTGTGAATTGCTTTTCGAATTTGTAAGAAATTTAAAAATTGGTCCGATTCGGATTTGGACCCACCAGTGCCTCGGGAATTGCCCGGGAATTCCTTTTGCATACTCCTAGCGTTTAGTATGGCGATCTTTATTGTTAGGAAAAGTTATGAAAATTCTTCTTGGCATCTATTTCTCAAAGTTTCCCTAATCACTACTGAAAATCATATGCTCATCATATGCACGATCCTAGTCTTTTCAAGGGACATTTTTGTCCAGAAAATCACTGTAACCCTAAAAACCTAAATTGTAAGTTGTAATCTATCACATTCTTATTATGACTCTTTTCACACATCTGCAGTATTCCTTCATCTCTGAATTTTCAATCTAAATATATGTGATGAGTAACCAATTATCGTCACGTGACCTTTCTAATGTTGAGACGTTTTCCCTTTTCATTTAATTTTTTGTATTTTTATTAAAATATCTTTTTTAGTTCTATTCAAGTGGCCATGTTTATTAAAATTTAACAAATTTTAACTATCTAATACTAGTATTCCTTTTTTTTTTGTTATTAGTATTTGAGTTACTTTAGTTCTCCTATTGTCTAAATCTTTTCACTTTTCAAAGCAATTAAGGGTGCGTTTGTTTTGCGAAAAAATGGGCCATTTCTAGAAAATATTTTTCAGGAAAATGAGTTCATTTTTCGGTGTTTGGCTAAAACCTAAAAAAGACTTGGAAAGTACTTTCAGTTGTTTTGTGGGGAAAATCTGATGGTGAAAATTTTCAAAAAATTTTGTATTTTTTAAATTATTTGTTATTTTAAAATTATTCTTAGAAAGAAAAGAAAATACATGAATGTTTTCCTTTTTAGAAAGAAAAGAAAAGAAAAGAAAAAATCTTAACAAATTCAAAATGAGTAATTCCGGAAAGTGTTTTCACCTTTTTAGATTAGGGAATTCACTTTCCTAATTTTATACATTAATATTTTCCTTAACCGGAAAGTATTTTCATTTGACTTACCATTTTCGGCGAATCAAACGAATGAAAGTCCAGAAAACGGATTCCTAGAAAACACTTTTCCTCAAACAAATACCCTCTAAGGGTAAGAGAGAGATAACTTTTACCCCACGAAGTCACGTACATTACACACTCTAACACAAAAAAATAACGGATAGTTGATAATTGTAAATAAATTAAAGTTCATGGGGTATTGTGTAAATGTTGGAAGTTCGAGAGCAAGCATGTACTATTTCATAATTTTAGAGATTTTGTGTAATTTTCCAATTCATTAAACTTGATTCCACGGCGCGACATGATTCGTATTCAATAAAATCCAAGTCAGCGGATGGAATTCTGCTTCTCTACAAAGTTGCAATTGGGCTCCAACCTGTTTTTAATGGGCTTGAAGCCTTTCTAGACAGCCACTTTTATATTTTCCGTCAAAAACCAAAGTTAATATTAAATTTTGAATATTATTTACGACAACATCTGAGGATGATATTAAGTGCAATTTTCGACAAAAGACAGAGCATATAACCTATGTCTTAAAAACTCGTCTATCCCTACTTCCTAACATAGGGCTATAAATCGACCAATCTATTCGATGATCGATTGTTCATCTTCGCCAATAAAAATGGCAAAGTCAGGGGTTTTGAAGCCTTTTGGAAAAGGCTGATTGTCGACCTATTCAGGATGTGGTTTCCTATAAACATATATGGTAATACCCCCTCTAATGCCAACTGTTATCGAACTTCTTCAACAAACTGTACTAGGTACAATTGTGGATTTAATTGACCATTTTGCCCTATAGGTAGTGATACTGATCTTGTCGGATTATGCACGTTAATTGGCATGTCGGGCCCAATAAGAATATTCACATTGGATAATATCAATGGAACCACTCGCCTTATATTTTCTTCATTTAGCAATTGACGGCATGTTGACCAATATAATTTGCGAATTATCATTACCAATTTGGTTGTTTTGACCAATACTATTAGCATCAATAAATGAAGAGGGATTAGAAACAAACCTTGTAATGACTAAATTGACTAGCGGCGGTTGATTGGACAATCCCAGCCTCAAAAGAACATTATTCATAGTATTAATGATGATCGGCTTACTGGCCTAATTGTTTCGTTGCTCTTCATATAACCTTTTCATGGTGGCTAATATATGAGGATTTGGTGGAACTTATCTCAACTACTCTTCAATGAGGTGTCGGGGAAGATCTACCCCTCGTGTTGGCCTCCTTCTTATGCTCGGTTAATGTTGAAGATTCGAGTATGCAACAACTTCGTCGCCGAGTTGTGGCATTGGATTGTTGTTGCGGCGGTAGTATCGGACTCTTGTTGATTTACGGTTCTTATCATTGTAGTCTCCTCAAATCAACTAGATGCGTCCCATGGGCATGCCAAAAAAATGCTTCTCCAAAAAGGTGACGATGAAATCCCTTCTGATGAAGATCTACCCCTCGTGTTAGCCTCCTTCTTATGCTCGATTAATGTTGAAGATTCAGAGTACACAACAACTTCGTCGCCGAATTGTGGCATTGGATTGTTGTTGCCAGCAGCCGCATCGAACTCTTGTTGATTTCTGGTTCTTATCATCGTTGTCTCCTCAAATCAACCAGATGCGTCCCATGGGCGTGCCAAAAAAATATTTCACCAAAAAGGCGACGATGAAATTCCTTCTGATAAAGATCTACCTCTCGTGTTGGCCTCCTTCTTATGCTCGGTTAATGTTGAAGATTCGAGTGTGCAACAACTTCATCGCCAGGAGTTGTGGCATTGGATTGTTGTTGCCGCGGCCGTATTGGATTCTTGTTGATTTACGGATCTTATCATCGTAGTCTCCTCAAATCAATTAGATGCGTCCCATGGGCGTGCCAAAAATGTTTCACCAAAAAGGTGCGATGAAATTCCTCTCGATACATATATATATATATATATATATATATATATATATATATATATATATATATATATACATGGATCGATGTGTGAATCAACAAATAATATGATTGATTTTGGACAAGAAAACAAATGACAAGATTTTTGAAGGTAGAGGACTAGAGGCAATCGTAACTATCCATTTAAATTGCGAAAAAGTAAAAATAAAGATAAATTGAAGAGAACGTTGAATTCTTTGATTGATTGGAGGGAGTATACAAAAAATAAGATGTGACTATTTAAAACCTACAATTGACGGTTACAAACGGTTAATGAACTTAAAAAGATAACTTCCTAATCTTACCTGCGGATATAAAAAGTTACAACAACACAATAATTATTGAGTTACACAACTAAACATAACCACCCAATATATATTATCTAGTAATACTTATTTAAAATAAATTATATATCCAAAACTATCAGTTGCATATCAATGTCATGACTTCGTCCCCAGTGAAGGTTCTCATTGATAATTGACATTTGATATCTTCTTGAATCTTGGAGACTTGTCGATGCTCTCAAGTTGTCGACTATGAGATGTTCGCCAAACTCTATCATGATGGACTAAATTTGTTACTTGTCCATTATAACCAAAAGTTAGTTATTTTTTTTATGTCAACAAAATTATAAAAAGAAGAAAACAACCTCGACCATCGGGGTGTCCCATGATGGCCCAAACTAAAGCCCAAGGCGTTTTTATTCGACCAACAGAAGAAAAGCAATGCGGTGTATCGAACCCGATTAGCGCAGGAAAGTTGTCATTTCCTAAACTGGCCTGTTCCTAACAACGTCATACTGCTATTTAATGGCCTTCCAATAGTTTTCATAGTCTCTGCAGATGATTTTTCCTGGAGCTGGGGTCATCTTAATGATCTCTCTGTCTCTCTTTCTCTCTGCGCTGGAGATTGTCATTGCTTTTCTTTGCAAAAATACCAGGAGTATATTTCTCGAATACGGGTCGATGGATACAAGAGCGGAAGATTGCGGGATGATTCTTGGTGAAATCATCGGTCACTTGACTTGGGGACATAGGAGACATCGCCTATAATTTTAGAGCTTCCTGGAGACAAGAACACTCTTTCCTCAATTCGGATACCATAGGACAAGGATCTTTTGAAACCTCGCAAACATCGAACCCAAACAGAAAGTGAAAACTAACCCATCATCGCCAGACGATGAGCCCTATGAAAGAACCAGTAAACTGTTAGGAGTTCACACTGTTAAGTTAAGTTGCTTAGAAGACTCGTGGCACATGCCGCGAGCCATCCTGGATCTTGTCGAACAGAACAAAATGCGGTAAAAACATTTTGCGGAGTCTTCTCATCCCTAAAGCGCCAAAGGAAGTACTTTTTTTTTTAGGTGGGACTCCGTCTCTTTCGATTGAACATTCTGATATTCGACTTCTTGTTCCAAAGTCCGTGTTCCTCTGCTTTTGTAGGCTTCCTCTCTCTTTCCCCGTTCATATCCTTTAAAACTTGATACCTTATCATAAGCAAAAACGAGAATACTAATTTACTCACCTAATTGATTTGTGCACCTAAATCTTTGCTCTTGCATGCCCGTGAAATGGCAAAGCAGAATGCGGATTTGATAGTAGTTCGGTTTGCCAATCAAAATTTTTACTGCTAGAACACAATTTCAGACAAGAACACTTAACAATACCATGTCAAATTAATAGAAATTGAATATGCACCGCAAGTGCATCCACTGTATTTGCACTGGATATGGAGAATTATATTTATGATCGAACCTAATATACGAGTCCAGGTCTAACAGTTGCGCATGTATCCGGTGCATACAATCCTGATTTTTCATAAAAGCATGTGACAGTCCATGCCGGAACTTACAAAAAGCAACAAGCTGACAAAAATCTACAAAATACACAGGAGTTAAAAGGACTTTGGATAACAATTTTGGTCAACATTGCATGCTTCTTGGGCAACCGATCTGCAGCATAAAGCCAGGCACAAAACAATGACACCTTGGTTCTTAGGTCTTTGTGCTACAAGACAAGGTATGGACACTAAATCTTGTCTCACATTACTTCGTGATCATCTTTGGATTTGTTTTCTACTGGAAAAACAGTTGAAACACCACAGACAAATCGTAATAAAAACCACTGCATATATAAGCTTCCATGACCACATGGACTCCTTCAGGTCAAGCAGCCAAGGAAAGTTCAAAAGCAACCGCAACAAGGAAAGAGTCACAGAGAAACAAGAGAAACAATGGAAATGTTGACCACAGTGAAGAAAGAAGAGAACACGGGAAAGTGCCACATGTGCTCGGATGATGGCGTACCACCCGTTGTTAGGTGCATCAAAAGACGTCGCAGAGACCCATCCTTGGTCAACCTCGGCCGGGATGCTGACCAAAGTCAACCACAGCAATTAGGTGATCAAGTATCTGCTGCTGCCGCGACAACCCCGAAGAGAAGTTCAAGATTTCGCGGTGTTAGCAGGTTTGAATAAATTCAGTTGTTTGAATTTGTGATTTCTTTTTCCTGATGGGTAGATTGTGTAAATGGCTGAGTGGAAATGGAAATACAAATGACAGGCACAGATGGACTGGTCGGTATGAAGCCCACCTGTGGGACAAGCTCTCTTGGAATGTAACGCAAAAGAAGAAAGGGAAGCAAGGTATGTCTAATCTTTCTCTCCTTTTTTTATTCCTTTCTTGTATTGAATTAATCGTCTTGATCATTACCTTTTCTCAACCCAATAACGTGTTCTTGTTTTATTGAATTTGCATGGCTGTCGGATTCCTCTGTAATTTGTTGGGGTTGAACAGTTTATCTAGGTGAGTCCAAGCTATCTCAAAAGAAACTATTCTATTCCACCGCGGTTCTTCTCAGGTGACAAAAAGAGACTGAACTTTTTCCTCTCTTATCTATATCTCAGGAGCTTATGATGAAGAAGCAGCAGCAGCAAGAGCATATGATATGGCTGCACTCAAGTATTGGGGAACATCGACCTTCACCAATTTTCCGGTACACGACATTCTTCTATTTCAGCTCTAGATGCTAAATTCTTCTTCCAGGAAGATGCATGTGATCTAATATTGAGATACCTTTGGCAGATATCAGATTATGAGAAGGAGATCGACATTATGCAAACTGTAACAAAAGAGGAATACTTAGCCTCTTTAAGAAGGTAAGTGTCGACACATGTTTGGATTATACATGAAGGACGTTAATGTGTTGCATTCGTTGCCTAGTTGACATCCTGTTGATTTTCTTTTTCGGCAGAAAGAGCAGCGGCTTCTCAAGAGGCGTATCCAAGTATAGAGGAGTTGCCAGGTAAATTCTAAATAATGACAACAAATCATTTTGAAGAGAAAATACTGACGGAAATGGATATGCTAAAGCCTTAAGTGAAAATAAAATGTGCAGACACCATCACAATGGTAGATGGGAAGCAAGAATTGGGAGAGTCTTCGGAAACAAGTACCTCTACCTCGGCACTTACAGTAAGTTAAACTTCAACCAATCTTATTGCTTGCATAGGAAGAAAATAGAAATTTCCTCAGTTGGACCTTTCTTCAGATAGAACCTATAATCGAGCCGTTATTGAGAAGGACAGCGTGTAAACACAGACTTGAATTCTCTCTCAAGTGTATTATATTAATCATGAAGGTACTCAGGAGGAAGCAGCCCGTGCCTATGACATTGCTGCAATCGAATATAGGGGGATCAATGCTGTGACCAATTTTGACTTGAGTACTTACATCAGATGGTTGAAGCCTGGAACAAATGGTTCATCACTCATCTTACCGGAACAACAGATCTTCACAGATTCTTCGATAGCACTATCAACAACCAACTACATCCCTGTAGAGGAGACTAAATCCTCATTCTTCCTGGCTAATCCTTTCATGGAAGACGATTTAACCAATATCCCTCGAAAGCAAGATACATTCAAAAGTAAAGTACCCGTTAGCTCGGGCAGTAAGTCTTCATCTTCGCCGACAGCACTTGGCCTACTCCTCAGGTCTTCAGTGTTTAGAGAATTGGTCAAGAAGAATACATCCGTCTCCGAGGAAGACACAGATGGGGAAGAGGCAAAAGACCAACCTCTGCAAGGAAGTGACGATGAATTCACGGGGATCTTCTGCGACGGAATAGGGGACGTCCCCTTTATCTGCTCTTCAAACAGGGACGGTGTACAGTTACATGAAAGAGAGCTACAGTTCATTCTGTGAACCTCTCAGGAACCCATAAAAAAAGATGAGTTTTAATAGTCAGCCAACAAGTTAGCAGATACAATCTAGTTTCTGGCTTGGATGTGATGTAAAGAGGTTTCTCACCAAATTGGGATGTTAAGAATTTCCTGTCAATATTGAATAAAAGCTTCCCATTTCTCTGGAGATGAATCAGGATCCATCCTGCATTAATAGTCACAAGGGAAGAGCCAAGCAGAGTGATGATTTTCCTTCGGGGTGCTTGAACGTACTATATAGCCCATCTGATGGATTAGAAACATTCGTTGTATCTATATGAATTGAAATTTAGAACGTGGAAATCCAAATCCTTCCTGTACATGGCTTCGAATGGTCCGTGCGAAGGACGCAAGGTTGGATTGCAGGTCTTGGTAATTTTGTCTGGCCACTGCAGGTGTCAAATACATCTACGGGCATAGAAGGACAGATCATGTCGTTATCTGATGCGGCGGGGAAATACCGAATTCGCAAGTTAATTTTTCTTTACTTGTGGAGAGAACATCATCCCCAGTGTGTCTATCAAGGGTCCATCATGTAAAACCAACGGGGATTCAGCGGTCAAGATATAGGCCCTGTTTTGTTCAGCATTCAAATGCTGCTTTGGGGCTCTAAAGGTCCTTGGGCAAATGCAAACTTATTTGGCAAATTTTTTTGCAAGCTTTGAGGAGATGCAAAAAGCTTTGAGGAGATGCAATTGCATCTCCAAAGTTCCCTAAGGGCCTTTGGCTGAATGCACTTCATGAGGTCCATTGAGGAAATTGCATTTTCAAAATGCAATTGGCACTATTCATACGTCACTGTTCATCGCGCCCAAGGAACCACACCGGAGGCCGGCCGGGGTCCGGCGACCGCCGCCCGGGGGTCGGGTGACATCCGGCGACCGCCCGCTGGGCGCCCAGGCCTCGGGCGGTGCTCGGGTCGCGCGACAGGAAGCTACCGTCAGCTCGAGCGCCCAGCGATGTCGCCGGGTCAGCGACCCCGCGGCGGCTCGCCGGAGGTCGCCCAACCCCAGTGGCGATCGCCGAGGTCGCCGACCCGGCGACCACCGCTGGGTCGCCGGCCTCGGGCGGCACTCGGGTCGCGACCCGGATGCGGGTTGCGCGACCGGCGCCGCGTGAGGTCGGGCGACCCCAGCGGCGATCACCGGAGGTCGGCCGACCTCGAGCGAGAGGCGCGACGGCCAGATCGGCCGCGGAGGTTGGGCGGCCGTTACAGCTGCTTGGGACGATCGCCGCGATGGTGGTTCGAGCCAAAATTTTTTTTTTTTAAATATTAGCAAAAGTCCTTTACAAAATTAAGATTTTACCAAACGGTATTTAGACCAAAGTTGTTTTCAAATGTGATTTTAAAAACACGTTACCACACTACTTGCATTTCGAAAACCCTTTTAACTCAAAGGTATTTGCATTTTGCCAAATGCATTCCCCCAAAGCCAAACCAAACAGGCCCATAATTGAAGCAAAAGTACGTGCAGCTGAATACGCAAGAATGCAGGAAAAGATGCATGACAGTTCACTATATTTTCCATTCCCATGGGAGCATTCCACATATAGGTATCTATATACATGATAACGACATCACCACTTCAGGCATTATCGTCCGAATAGGAATTTGGTTGCCAAAATTATGATGTGTACTCATCCAAGTATTGTGAAATCGGGTGGTCTGCAAATGTGAAGTCCCTCAAGCGCACAACTCCAATTTCAGGGCCACAAGCAGCAGTAACGATTCGGCAACCATCCACAGCAATGGCCGAACATCCAGAGGTGGAACTCACTCCTTCCCAGCCACAAATTAACGAGTTCACTCGATTACCAGTGTCAGCTTCCCAAACATTAACATATTCATCTTCTGGGCCCCCTGTAACTATTTTGTATGAATCCATGTGCAAATGCGTCACAGGACCTAAATGCCCATCCAGCTCAGCTATTGGCGCCGATTTACTTTGGCCCTGGTTCTTTCTGACATCCCAAAGCATCGCCCTGCAACATCACAAACATCTTGCTTTCAGAGCACTAAAAACAAACTATCAACAGAAAATTTTCCATATAAGAGATTGTGAATCCCCATTGCCATATTTGTCTTTAACAATTTATTCCCAATTAATTGCCGACGCTTTCAGGAATAAACTGTCAGGTATTAATGCCCCAGCCCCTGCTAAAAAACCCCACCCCCACACAACCTCAAAAACACACACAAAAAAAAAGCCTGGGTGGTTAAATAGAGGGGCAACAGAATAGATCCGACTACTATTGAAGATATTATATACAAATATGGCATAAGAATGCGCTTGTCTATTGAAAACTTTTTTCTCTTGTTCATTGTTTCCTATTGCAGTAAAGTAGGTAACGATCTATAAATCTTAAGGAACAACTGCTCTCCTAAACATATCACACGTTTTTCTCGCCGACAAAAAGATAAGCTCAGAGAACCTGAGCAACTCATTGGAAGACAACGTCGATGGAAAATAAGTGACATTGCTCCATATGTTCACTCAATGGGTGAAAGAATTTGCATCAGGAACGTCAATGTACTTTGTCTTGCATACTTTGTTTACTCTTAGAGGAACGAAAGTATGGTCTTTTCCAAAAACCTAAATTTATTGCATCTGTGTTCATTCTAATTGGTCTGAGGATGTCCAATTGTTTTAGCTTCCCATATCCTACAGCTCACCATCAAGATAAACATATGTAGATTGCTTATTATAAGGAAATTATTGGATCAAAGGAAACAACTGCTAAAGCGAAGCACTCTGGACAACTTGCAGCATGATCCCTCAGTGTGGATGATTCTACACCAAACAAGTGCAACTCATCAAAAAATCTCTCTACCACGAGAAAAGAACTAACCTGCCAGTCTCACCCGTACAGATTAATGACTTCGAAGGAATAATTCCAAAGGAATACAAGCTTCTTTGGGAAGTTGCTGCAGTGCTAACTCTTTGCGTTGTCCTTAAGTCTATAATGGCAACATGGGAACCAGCAGCCACATAGAGCAGTGATTCATTGCACTTCACGTTTACAGGTGCACCAGAAACAGAAGCCGTTCCAATGCAGCATGATGAACGAACAGCAGATGATGCATTTGCATCCCAAACCCTTATCTAACATGAAAATCAGAATCATCTGTCAGGATAAGATAAAACAATATCCCATTAAGAACCGACATTACAGGACAACAAAACGATCGCAATAAATCCATTCAAAGGAAAAAAGTCTATACTGACGTCAATAACTTCAGCTTATTCTAAAGATTCCTCCTTTCTGGCAGAAGACATGCTTAGGACTTATGGAGCCTATTTGTATGATGTTGCTTTTTCTGATCTATAAGCTCCTTAATAAGAAGAGTCCCTCAGTGGAAGTATCTCTCCTAATTTATACCTCAAGAGCTTATCCAGTGATGGCGCTTGATGGAAATTACTCAGGGATGCAAGCAATTGCGAAAAATTAGTGAGAATAAAATGAGAAAAAGTTCAGAACGCTGTGAAAGTGCCCGTACTTTAATGTACTGGAGGAAGTTCCTCAAATATTAGTTCTATCAACGTCGTGATCATCTGTTGATATACATAGACCAATTTATTGAATTTATGTTGGTATACAGAATAAATACATAGACTCTTCAAGAGAATAAGATAGAAGTACCTCAGTATCTCCTGAAATAGACACCAAAAGAGAAGTACAGTGCCTGGAAGAAAAATATAAACATATGTTCATATCAGCATACCCGGTGCAAGGACTTCATATCATTGAGAAATGAAACACGACCAAAGACATATGACAACTTGAAATACAGTACTATTGAGAAACATAGGAACTTGATAAGGAGCTTGCAAGTTGGTAATGTAGAACTGATAGTGACAATTGACAGAGCAGATAGTAAATCTGAGGTCACGCTACTCGTGATTTGCTATATCTTGTGAGAATTACTGTGACATAAAACTGAATCCTCATGATCAAGCCTACAAATCAGCAATGTCATTCTATATTTTCCAAAATAAGAGGCTTCTAACAAGTGCACAGAATGATTAAAGTGGAAGGTAAGACTTCAGTGGATGTGAATATCCAAGAAAAGATGTGATAGACATTACATAGTGTATTTGATGCCCTCGAATAAGATGAGAGATTCTCATTTTGAGGTGGTTTGGACAAGTCAATGATGAATTTTAGAAGCTCCTGTGAGAAAATGTGACTCTCTAATGGGGATTCAGGTTAAAGAGCAGTGGAAAAGCTAAAAAGTTGTGGATAAGAACTTGAGAAAATATCTTGAGTACTTAGATAGTCACATGTCACTGAAGATTAATAGTGCACAGCAGTAGAGGATGCATGTGCCCAACATTTGGTGAAGCATGGCTTAGTCTTTCTACTATGCCCTAAGCAAAATTAGATTATAGATGGGGAACCAAGAACATGATGGGCTAAACTTTACTTTGAAGTTATGTTCTGATATAAGGCAATCACAAAAAAGGAAGACAAAGCGATAGCTATTAATTTACCAACTTTAATGAAATTAATAAATGTGCTATGTGCCTTTTATTCCATACCTAGAGATTATTTGAAAACAGAATGTACAAGCCAAGGACCAAATTTCCTTAAACCTTCTCAAAAACATCAAAATAGAAGAGACGCCACAGGGGAGTTCTTCAAGAAACAAACACATACCCAGCAACTGAAATAAACTTGACTGGCTTCTCATGCCCATAAAACGTGGATTTTAACGCCTGTTCTCCACGTTTCCTACTTGAAAGGGACCAAAGTCGAACCACACCATCCTCACCTCCACTTGCCAATACTCTATCCTTGCCTTCACCTATTAATTTATCTGACAGGGTCCAAACTGGGCCAATGTGACCTTTAAAACACCGTTGGCATTCACCCTGAGAAAAGGAAGCATACGAATGACAGACTGTACATAATTTTTAGGGATAAAGGAGTTAGTAGTCCCTGAACTTCTTTTTTTGGTCAATTGGGCCGTTTAACTATATGTTTTTTTGTTCGAGTTAATACTTCAGTCAAATAAATGGACGGCATGCTGACGTGGAAGAGCACATCAGAGCCATGTCAACCATATACATCCATGTCAACACCAAATCTTGTTCCTCCTAACTATTTACTGAGAAGGACCAAAAAAGAAAAAAAGAAGAAGAAAAGAAACCAGAAGTCAGAGAGGAAGGGAGAGAGACAGCTCCCCGGTGGAAGAGACGAAGACGAAGGCGCTAGCTAGGCAGTGGCGATGGCGCAGCCCAGCCACCAGTGAAGGTCCAGTTACCTTCACCGTTGTCTAGGACTGCCTCTGTGAGGGGTGGCGCCGCAGCTGCCATTGGCCAGCAAGAGCATGTGTGTGAAAGCTTCTGATCCTTCTCCTCTATATTGGCTATTCCGGTAAGTTTTTCCTTTTCAGATTTTTTGTCTAATCTTGAAAAATGATTTTTTTCTCATTTTCTAATTTTTTTTTAATTCTTAATTTAAATATAAGATACCGTGTGGGATGTCAGCGTGACACTTAGCAGCAACTAAACAGTCACGTCAGCAGTTCCATTTATTTTTTTAATGGAAGGACTAATTTGAACAAAAAAGTATATAGTTCGAGGACCCAATTCGCCAAAACAAGGGTTGAGAGACCAGAAAAACAAATTGAAAATGTTCGGGACTACTGGTGCCTTCATTCCTAATTCTTAAGCTACCATAGGTCATAACCTAAATGATGAATCAAAATGGATAAAGGTCAACAAATTATCTTCTTCTAAATTCAAAGCCAAATAAGAGAACAAATTGCTTAAGCTTCTCATTACCATAAATCCCTTAACAGAAGTAAAATTTACAGATGTCATTCTACACAGGCTCATCTCTCATTCAAACAGATTTCAGCAGGAAGTGCTAGCTAATCTCGTACCTCCCACCATAGCCGAATGGAACGATCACAGCTTGATGTCACCAGCGCACTTTCCTCACTCTCTGTCTCACCTCCGGATGAAGAAATTTCACTAAGGGGAAAAAGTCTGCACATCAAAGGATTCATGTTCTAAAGAATAAGATATAAATTTTCTCAAAGAAGAATAGACATCGGAACGTTTGTTGACATTTAGAAACCAAAAATGTGCTTGAACTGCCCCAAAAAAGAGAAACTAAAAGCTCAATTTGATGAGTGTGGAGAACTTTAAGCAGCAGAGACACCCATTCCCTTGTGGCTATTGAGCTGACTCATAGAAAATATGCCACATTTTATAATTTGCATCTAAAAATTCTATAAGTGACCAGAATTCACTAAATTGAGACAGGTAGGATAGCAGGTCCACAACCAAAGTGTCTCTAGCTGTTAACCTGATCAAGAGGAAACTGACAACCCTGGCTTTAGTTTTATTTATCCTTTAGAGTATTTCCAATCCAATTACTAAGCAACTGGCCCAATGATTATATGACAAGGAACTCTAGGCAGTACGTTACCTGCAAGTGCATAGAATGAGTACATTAGAGAGAGAATACTCTAGTAAATATGTGGACATTCAAGAAAAGATAGAACTACAACTTATGGAGGAAATGTTAACACAGCTTCAATTGCTGCAGAGAGACTCTTTTGAGGTAAAGCAGGAGACATGAGACAATGGCCTTTATATGCTCTCTAGTAAGAAGGTGTCGCTTTTAGATGGAGAAATAGGGTAAAAGGAATAGGGAAGGCATGGGAAGAAACTCTGAGAGAAGAATTTCATCATGGAGGATATGATACTAAACAAGTTAATGGCACAACATGATCCACATAACCAGACCCATTGAGGAGGAGTAGTCTTGTTTATTGGCAATTTCGTTGCATAGAAGCAATATTTCGCATTAAGGCGTGAACCGCAACTTTTTTGAGAATTTAACCCCAAAATTATTATAAGAAAAAAAGAATAAGGCTCGACCAATTGTTCTTCAAGAGAAGGTCCAACCAAATGAGACATTGTCAAGGTGACTCAGTGAGATGAGAACTTATAGGTTATAGTACAAAACTGTGACTGCACATAGACAGTCAACATCACCACATTATACTCATTTTCAATCCTGTTTGTCTCTAACGTGAATTTGTTCAAATATTTAATACCTGAAATTGACAGTATGGTATCATACTACAAAATATGCAGCAGCATGTAGCATGCATCACAAACTAACCGATGTCCAGTTTCATAATCTACTCTAGACAACAGCAGAAAGTAAATCCATCCTACTAGTCTCACCTCATACAAGTAACTTCTGCTTTGTGCTTGTATCGTTCACCAGCGTACTTCCGTTGACCAGCAGAGCTATCGAACTTCAGAATTTGTAAGGTTGAACCCTGGATGCAACACCATACGTAGTAAGTGCTACAAGCTTATTTTGCTCAAGAATGACACTGGATACATGAAATTCCCTATAACAATTAATTCATAAACTTTTAAGACTGTTTCTTCGTAATGAATAGGTTGGCAACACTGGACGACGCTTTGACTGATGTCACGGAAGCAAAAACTAGGAGACAAGCATAAAAGAAAGGCGCTACTCGATTGGAAGCAAGCTGGGAAAATAACATAAAAAGCAAAAAGAACAGATCTATCATACCTGAGCAAGAACCACGCGGCTCTTATCCAATAAGAAGCCATTGTATGGAGCCCTTGGACGGAAGTGAATAACCAAGGGATCAACAAATTTGAACTGCTGCACTGCAGAAAGTCTATCCCAATATGCTCTCCTAAACCCTGTTGTAAAGCCGGCAGGCACTAGCCAAGGCCACTCTACAAAATCGGTTTAAAAACATCCTTTAGTAAATCAATTTTCATCGGAGAGAGGCCGGCAAACACATATGTAACGACTTAGTCGACTAGCAATACTAGGAAGAGAAGTCTCTTTTCAAGATCTTTAGTCATTTGATACAAGCCCCTACGACAACAGGATATACGATTCCTCCATACCAATTCAATACATATCGCATCGACATTTTATTCTATCCTTCCATTTTCTTAGGCTGCAAAGCTCCAGTGGTAACTGACGAGACAGTGGCAAACCTTAAAGTTTGTCATTCCACAGACACGACTCTCCTATACGAAGCTTTGCAGCAACTACGTCGTAGCACAAAAATCCGCAACAACTCCTATGAAGTCCCAGATAACGACCTCCGACTGGACACCATACTTTTCTCCCCTGACGACCGTGCATTTTTTTTTTTAATGAATTTTACGTAATTCTAGCAGTTCACGCACGGTCCATTCATCGCATGCATAATAAACGGAATCGCATCTCAGCCTCGCGGCGACGGACACCGTTCGCACTGACTGACCTATAAAGGCGGTGCCAGACGGCATCGGAATAAGCGACGCGCTTGAAGAACTTGCAGGACATCGCCATGCTCGACACCTCCCGCGGCGTCAAGTAACCCGCGCAGCGGACCAACACGTCCGCGTCCACGTTGGTGATCGTCGTCGTCGCTGCCGGCGCCGCCGCCGTCCCCGTCGAACGGCCGCGCCTCTTCGACGGAGGCGGGTCCATTTGCGGAGCTCCGCCGGAAAAACCCTAGGGCGCGCGCACGGTATTGGTCTGGTGATCCCCGACCGATGATGGTCCGACGACGGGAGAAAATGATCCGCAACGCTTTTGGAGCTCCCCTCGCCCGTCCCTGCTATTCATAACCTTTCCCCTTTTTAGCCGAAAAACGAGGGGCTCCCTTGGCTGAAAGATTATGCTACCCCCCCAATACATGCGCTCGTTCCACTCAAAATTTGATAATAAAGAAAACTATTTTTAATGAAAATTATCAAGAAAAATAATTTTTCATTTTCATTTAGGATTAATATTACAAAAAAACCCAAATTAGTACACTCCGAATTAATTTTTTGACCACTCAAAAGCTAAAAACTGATACGTTTGTGACAAATTTACCCTCTGTTAGTTTTTGTTAAAAATTAGATTAATACTGCTATGACAAACCGGAATAAAGCCCCAAACCCAGATCATCAATTATCGTGATAAATCCGAGAATAAAATACGAAACTAATAACGAATTATTCGGTTCTAGTTTAGGTTTCACCCATCAACTATCACGCGTCATCCAACTCGGCAATTCGACAATAAAACTTACCGAAAATTAACAACGAGTGAATTTATCGGAGATCCATAAACTCGGAGATAAGGAACGTTTAGTTTGAGAGAATAACTAATCATTGACATAAATGTGTTAGTTTGAGGTTTTTCGTGATATTAACCATTTTATTTGTTTAATGACTTTGTTGAAAAAAAAATAAAAAAAATGGAGCCCTGATGACACAGCATTCGGATATCCACACCAGGTTACTTATCTCCTGCTCCCTCAGCCTCATATATGCGAAAGAACACGCCATAACGAAACTGCAACAAAAGGAAGAAAAACAGAGGAAGAACAGGTAAATGCTACGTAGGCAAAACGCCAAACAACAATCTCTTCAACTACAACTAGCTGTCAATCAACCAACGCAGAAAGGCGAACCTGCTGCTCGAAGGCTAAAGGCAAGGCACAGCCTTTTCACTTCCTCTTCACAAAATGCCTTGTCCAGCATCTGGCTTTCTCCATAATAAACTTGCAGAAAATGGGCTGATATGGAGTATATTTCTCCATGACACTGCGAACCTGCAAATTTACACCACACAAGACGATTTCAATTGCGGTGAACACGTGCCCAGACAGAGAATACGATGCCGTGCTGGTAACACATAGCAACCATTTCCATGTTCTTATTTTGCTTGCCACTAGGATGCTGTCATCAGAGCAAGGGCCATAAAATCCATTGGTTGGTCACTAGAAACTCGGCAAGTCGCTAGTTAAGCGGGAACTTCTGACAGACAACAAAGCTGGAATCAGGTTGGATAGACAAGCCAAGATAGGACCCTACAATGTTGATTAATGCCAAAATAAACCATTTTTAAAGCAAAGTGGATGAGTGATCAACTATATGACAAGTCCTGGATAAACTAAAACAGAGTAAACTACCAAATGTACAGTCCTACATGACAAGGGCACCTGTCAGGGGAAGATGGTGGGGAAACACCGATTTCTTAAATTCATTTTTCTCTGTTTATGAAGAAAATATCATCCCCAGTGTGTCTTCCAAAGATCCATCACCATTGGGGATTCGGCGGTCAAGATATAAATGAAGCAAAAGGACGTGCAACTGATTACACACAAGAATGCAGGAAAAGACACATAACAGTTCACTGTATTTCATTTCCATGAAAGCATTCCACATATAGGTATCTATATACACGTTTTTATGACATCACCACTTCAGGCATCATCATCCGAATAGGAATTTGGCTGCCAAAATTTGAATGTCCGCTCATCCTCGTATTGTGAAACCGGGTGGTCTGCAGATGTGAAGTCCCTCAAGCGCACAAGTCCATGTTCAAGGCCACAAGCAGCAGTAACGATCCGGCAACCATCTACAGCAATGGCCGAACATCCAAAGGTGGAACCCACTGCTTCTGGGCTACAACAAATCAAGGAGTTCACTAAATTTCCAGTTTCAGCTTCCCAAACATTAACATGATCATCTCCAGGGCTCCCTGTAACTATTTTGTATGAATCCATATGCAAATGCGCCACAGGACCTGAATGCCCATCCAGCTCAGCTATTGGCACCAATTTACTTTGGCCCTGGTTCTTTCTGACATCCCAAAGCATCGCCCTGCAACATCACAAACATCTTGCTTTCAGAGCACTAGAATTATCAAGTTGAAAACAAACTTTAAACAGAAATTTTTCCATAGGAGGTGTATTTTTTAATCCCCTTTGCCATATTTGTCTTTGACCGTTTATTCCCAGTTTACTACTGACAGTTTCAGGAATAAACTGCCAGGTCCGTCACTGCAGCTAATGGCCATCGTGAACGTCAATGGCTTTGTCTTGCATGCTTTGTTTACTCTTAGAGGAATGAAAGTACGGTCTACCCAACAATCTAAATGTATTGCACCTGTGCTCATTCTAATTGGTTTGAGGATGTCCAGTTGTCTTAGCTTCCCATATCCCATAAATGTATATGCAGCTTATCATAAAATTAAACATATGAAGATTGCTTATTATTCAGAAATTATTGGATCAAAGGAAACAACTGCTAAAGCGAAGTGCTCTGGACAAATTGCAGCACGATTCCTCAGTGTGGATGATTCTACACCATACAAGTAAGTGCAGCTCATTAAAAAATATCTACTACCACAAGAAAAAACTAACCTGCCAGTCTCACCCGTACAGATTAATGACTTCGAAGGAATAATTTCAAATGAATACAAGCTTGTTTGGGATGTTGCTGCAGTAATAACTCTTTGCATTGTCCTTAAGTCTATAATGGCAACACCCGAACCAGCAGCCACATAGAGCAGCGATTCATGGCACTTCATGTTTACAGGTGCACCAGAAACCGAAGCCATTCCAACGCAGCATGATGAACGAACGGCAGATGATGCATTTGCATCCCAAACTCTTATCTAACATGAAAATCAACATCATCTATCAGGTTAAGAAAAAACAACATACCAAAAGAACCAACGTTCCTGGAAAACAAGACGATGGCAATAAATCCATTCAAAGGAAAAAAGAGTCCATACTGACGTCAAGAAATTCAGCTTATTCTAAAGGTTCCACCTTTTCACCAGAAGACATGCTAGGACTTATGAAGCCTATTTGCATAATGTTGCTTCTTCTGATCTATACACTCCTCAATAAGAAGAGTCCCTCAGTTGAATTATCTCCCTTAATTTATACGTCGAGACTTATTGATGGTGCTGGATGGAAGTTGCCTGTACTTTAATGAAGTGGATTAAGTTACTAAAAAATATAAGTTTCATTAACATCATGATCATCCGATGACATGCATAGACCAATTTATTGAATTTATGTTCATATACAGAATAGACACCTAAACTCTTCAAGAGATAAGACAGAAGTACCTTAGAATCTCTTGAAATAGACACCAAAAGAGAAGTACTGTGCCTGGAAGGCGAATACAAACACATAGTCATATCAGTATACCTGGTGCAAGGACTTCACACCATTGAGAAATAAAACACAACCAAATGACAACTTGAAAATACAGTACTACTGAGAAACTTAGGAATTTGATAACGAGCTTGTGAGTCGCTAATGCAACCAATAGTGACAATTGACAGAGCAGATAGTAATTCTGAGTTAACACTACTCATAAAATTACAATTCTATATCTCGTGAGAATTACCAAAGCATGAACTGAATCCTAATGATCAAGCCCACAAACCAGTAATGTCATTCTAGATTTTCCGAAATAAGAGGCTTCTAGCAGGTGCACAGAATGATTAAAGTGGAAGGGAAGACTTCATTGGATGTGAGTATTCAGGAAAAGATCTGACAGACATTACATTGGTGTATTTTATGATTTTGAATAAGATGAGAGATTCTCACTTTGATGTGGTTTGGACAAGAGAATAATGAATTTTAGAAGCTCCTGTGACAATATGTGACTCTCTAATCCGGATGTAGGTTAAAGGGCAGTAAAAAAGCTAAAGATTTGTGGATAGAGAAAAAGCTAAAAATTTGTGGATAAGAACTTTAAGAAATATCTTAAGTACTTAGTTTGTCATGTGCCACTAAAGATTAATAGTGCACAGCTTAGAGGATGCATGTGCCCAACATTTGTTTAAGCGAGGCTTTGTCCTTCTTATTATGCCCTAAGCAAAATTAGCTTACAGATGGGGAGGCAAGAAGATGATCGGCTAAACTTTACTTTGAAGTTACATCCTGATATGAGGCAATCACAGAAAAAGAAGAGAAAGTAATAGCAACTAATTTACCAACTTCAACGAATTAAAAAATGTGCCTTTTATATTATACCTAGAGATCATTTGAAAACAGAATGTACAAGCCAAGGACCAAATTTTCCTTAAACCTTCTCAAAAGACCAAAAATAGAAGAGATGCCACAGTAGAGTTCTTCAAAAAACAGACACACACCCAGCAACTGCAACAAACTTGACTGGCTTCTCATGCCCGTAAAAGGTGGTCTTTAAAGCTTGTTGTCCGCGTTTCGCACTTGAAAGGGACCAAAGCCGAACAGTGCCATCCTCACCTCCGCTTGCCAATACTCTACCCTTCCCTTCACCTATTAATTTATCTGACAGGGTGAAAACTGGGCCACTGTGACCTCTAAAACACCGTTGGCATGCACCCTGAGAAAGGAAGCATTAGAATGACAGACTATACATAAATTTTAGGGATAAAGCAGCCAATAGTCCCTGAGTTTTTTTTTGTTTTTGTTTTGGTCAGTTGGATCCTTTAACTATGTGTTTTTTTGTTCAAGTTAATACTTCTGTCAAATAAATGGACGACATGCTGATGTGGAAGACCACATCAGTGCCACATCAACCATATACATCCATGTCAACACCAAATCATCTTGCTCCTCCTAACTATTTGCTGACGGGGACCAAAGAACAAAAAAAAAAAAAAAAAAAAGAAATGAGAAGTCCGAGAGAGAGAGAGAGAGCTCCCTAGTGGAAGAGACGAAGATGGAGGAGCTAGCTGGGTGGTGGTGATGGCCCAGCCCAGCCACCAGCGAAAATCCAGTGACCTTTGCCATTGTCTAGGACCACTGCTGTGAGTGGCGGCACTGCAGCTGCCATCGGCCGGCGAGAGTGTACGTGTGAATGTTTCCCCTCCTTCTCCTGTATATTGGCTATTCCAGTATCTTTTTCCTTTTCAGATTTTTTGTCTTTTGAATTCTTGAAAAATAGTTTTTTTTTGTATTGTATTTTCTAAAATTCTTAATGATGCCATGTGGGATGCCAGCATGACACTTAACAGTAACTAAACGGCCACGTCAGTGGTTCTGTTTATTTTTTTAATGGAAGGACTAATTTGAACAGAAAGTATATAGTTCAAGGAACCAATTGGCCAAAAAAGAGTTGAGAGACCAGATGAAACAAATTATAAAATTTTGGGACTACTGGTGCCTTCACTCCTAATTTTGAGTTACTACAGGTCATAACCTAACTGATGAATCAAAATGGTTAAAGGTCAACAAATTATCTTCTTTAAAACTTAAAGCCAAATAGGAGAACAAAATGCTCAAGCTTCTCACTACCTTAAAGTCCTTCACAGAAATAACATTTACAACTGCATTTCTACACAGGCTTATTTCTCATTCAAATAGATTTCAGGAAAATGCTAGTTAATCCCATACCTTCCACCATAGCCGAATGGAACGATCACAGCTTGATGTCACCAGTGCATTTTCCTGACTCTCCATCTCACCTCGGGATGAAGAAATTACGCTAAGGGGAAAAAGTCTGCAAATCAAAGCATTCATAATTAACATAATAAGTTATAAATTTTCTCACAGAAATTAGACATTGAAACGTTTGTTGACATCTAGAAACAAAAGATCTACTTGAAAAACCCAAACGAAAGAAAGAAAAGCTCAATTTGATTAGTGTGGAGAACAACTAGAAGTACACACACCCATTTCCTACTAGTTATTGAACTGACTGATACATAATAAGCCACATTTTGTAATTTGCATTTAAAAAATTCTACAAACAGAATGCACTAAGTTGAGAGAGGTAGAATAGCAGGTCCAAGACCGAAGTGTCTCTAGGTGTTAACTAGATCAAGACCCTGACTTAAGTTTATTTTCCCTTTAGAGCAGCGCCGGTTCCAACAACTAAGCCAGTGGCCCAATGATCTATGACGGGGAATTTTAGGAAGTAAAATGAGTGCTGTAGAGAGAGAATGCTCTAGTAGATGTGCGGACATTCAAGAAAAGATAGAACTACAATTACAGAGGAAACATTAGTATAGCTCCAATTGCTCCACAGAAACTCACTTGAGGTAAATCAGGACACGTGAGACAATGGCCTTTATCTGCTCTGGTAAGAATGTGGCTTTTAGATGGAGAAATAGGGTAAAAGGAGTAAGGAAGGCATGGGAAGACACTTTAAGAGAAGACTTTCATCATGGAGGATTTGATACTGAACAAGTTTGTTGACACCTATTTTTAATTTGCCCAAAATTAATTGCACAAAATTTAGGAGTTAATTTTCTTTAATTCCTAAAACAAAAATATTTCAATTTAAATGCATTGCATATAGAAATTAGGCACATTTTGCATTAATAGGGTCTATTAGAGAATATTAATTAAAAAAAAAAATCGAGTCGGGCCGGGTCGGGGTCGGGCCGACCCGGCCCTTTTCTTTTTTCCTTTCCTTCCCCGCATGGGCCCCGGCCCACTCTTCTTTCTTTTTCGTTTTTCCCCCCCACGCGGGCCCGGCCCGCCTTTTTCTCCTTTTCTCCTTCTCCCCACGCCAGCTGGGCCTGGCCCGGCCCGGCCCTCCTCCTTCCTTCTTCCCCCCGTCGCTCTCGCCGCCCCTGTTCGCCTCTATGCTCGACGACAGCGTGACGCACGGCGAGGCCGCCTCGGCGTCGCTATCCGGCCAGAGCAAGGCCGGGTGAGCACGCCGACGGGACTGGCATTAATTGCCAGTCCCGTCCTCCCCGTTGTCCCGGCTCGCCCTTATCCCCTCCTCTCTCCCGGTTCTCTCTTCTCTCCTCTGCATCCCAGAACTGACACCCCCTCTGCACCGGCCTATGGCCGCGGAATTCGCGGAGCCTAGGCCGGTGCAAGCCATCGTCACGCGGACGCCACGGAGAGGGAAGCCATCGTCCGTCGTCCGGCTATAAATAGCCAGAGAGAGAGAGAAGCCCCGGTCGGCCGTTTGACGAAAGAAACAGAGCAGAGAGAAGTCGAGAGAGAAAGAAAGAGACTGAGCGAGACTGAGAGACTGAGAGCTCTTCCGGCGACCGCCGAGCTCGTACCGAGACCATAAAAGACCAGAGAAAGAGAGGAGAGAGGTCGGCCGGCGGTTTTAAAAAAAAAACAGAGCGAGAGGCCGAGAGAGAGAAAAGAGCACCGAGAGAAAACAGGGAGGGAGAGAGCAAACCGAGAGCTCGCCAGAGCAAGAAGGAGAACCAGCAGCGTCACCGTCGCCTACGGAGCAGCTGGAGACCCCCCAGAACGCGCCATCGACCGGTGAGTCTCTCCCGGCCGAGAACCGCCTCTGTTTTCCCCTATTTTCCGGCGTGATTGGGCCGGGACTCGCGCCGGCCGTTTCGCGCGAATCCCGGCCCATACCGACGTCGGTCTCGGTCCCTGCTCAACTTCCGAAGTGAACCCAAGCCGCTGGAGTTGACCGGATCGCCGGAGGAGGTCGGAATCCCTCGTTTTTCCACGCGCCCGCCAGGCGTTCGACGAAATGCCTCAACTAGGCTGGTTTTTGTTCCATCGCCGGCCGGCGAACGGTGGTCCGACGGCGGTTCAGGTGAGTGGTACAGCCCAGAGGCGGTCCTAGTCGGGCGATTTGGGGGCGGCGCTGGGTCGGCTTCGGCGGCGTCGGCCGCGCCCCTCCCCGCGTTCAGATGTTCGGTCGGATTCAACCCGAATCAACAGATCCGACCGGGTCAACGCCCGGGTCGGATCCGTTGACCCGGGTTCCGACCCGATCCGGATTGACCGATCCGACCCGGGTCGGTTCCGACCCGATCCGGATTGACCGATCCGACCCGGGTCGGTTCCGACCCGATCCGGATCAACCGACCCGGGTCAACGCCTGGGTCGGGTCCGTTGACTCGGGTCGGACCTGACCGACCCGACCCGGTTATTATTATATTATATTATTATATTATATTTTTTTATATATTTTTTTTAAAAAAACTTAATAAAAAAATTAATTTTTTTTTCTTTTTCTTCTTTTTCTTCCGTATTTATTTATTTATTTTAAAAAAATTTCAAATTTTTTTTTAAATTATGTGATATTTCTAAGTGTTTTGTTTTATTGTGATATTATTATGCATATTTTTAATACAATTGCATGAGTTGTTGTGTTTTGAATGTCATCTGACTTAGTTAAGGTTAGAACCTTAGGCCGCATGAATTGTTGTGTTCTTGATCAGCGATCGTTTCGATTATGCACTCGCTTGATCACCTCACATGTTAGGAGAAAGGTCCTAAAATCAATCTAAATTGCCTGACAAATGTTTTCATGAAATGAACAGGGTAAAAAGGTACCGAAAGGGCATTAGTTATCCAACTAGTGTAACCAAGTCCCCGAATTCAGTTAATCTCTGGTTCGCAGGAATAGGGTGATTCTCCCATCACCTTATTTGGGTTTCTAATCGACCCACCCCAAATCGATTAGTGGCTACTCCTTGGTATAAATCACTTGCATGTTAAATACTTAAACCCTAAGTCGCGATATGGTATGGGCTTGGGAGGGCCCGAGTTAAGTCCTGAACCTAGACTTAGCACGTACCAGGCGAATCCTCCCTTTTTGCATGTTCGATAAAAAAGGGCTCGGGAGTTCGGTCGCGACAGACTGGCGACTCCGCTGGGGACTTGTTTTTTTTTTTTAAAAGTGGACTTAAGCCAAAAAATTTTATCCTGTTCAAAAATAATTTTTGTTTGGCAGCAAGGACTCCAGGTATGAACCTGACATTAAGGTGTTACTTGTTCTTGCAGGTTCAAATTGATTGTTTGTAAATTGTTGTGCATGCCTTAATGATTTAGCACTACACCGTTGCACACACAACCACGCTGCCGGACCTGGGCCGCGATAGGGCATTTTAGGAGGGCGTTAAGAAAGATACGACCTCGAACGCGAGCCCGCGATGTAGAGGTTGCCTTTCTTTTCCCCGAAATTTATTTCTAAAAATCGTAAAGAAGTATCTTTAGCCGCTATTCGCGTGACTATAAGATATTCCTTTCGATTTAGCCGAGGTTAAAAGGACTTGACACCAACGCGAGGCTGCGACGGTCAGCACCCTTTTAACTTCATTTTTTGAGCCGTCCTAGATAGAAATCGAGCCTCACTCCTCATGTGCATGTTGTTGTGATTGCCATGGTTCAAGAAAAGGTATATATTCTATCCCTTCTCATTTTTTTATACGGCCTACTTATTCAATAGATTTGTTACTGTTAGGCCACCCGTTGATTGCATTCTATATACGATGGGAAGAGCTGATATCCAATTCGTCCCCGCTCCTAAAGAGTTTCTGGCATGGTGGGACCGACGAGATGAGGGATACGCTTATTGCGGAGCTTGTCTGTTAAAATAAATGGCTCCGAGAGACTGTAGCTTCCCCATCGTTTATAGAATGAGCATCCGGGAATTGCGCCTTTTTTTTAAAAAAAAATTATTAATTAATTAAAAAAAAAAGGGCCCCTGTCTTTTAAATTTTCCCTGTATTTATGTTTAGGGGTTTTGGTTATCTCCTGTAAAAATGTTTATGGGTTGTACAAATGTCAATATAACTCGGGCCGTTTCTTTTTATGCTTTAAATGAAATTTTTGCCCCTTAATGACACCACCGCGGCCTTCGGCCCAGTGGTATCCGGGGATGAGCAGTAACGGTCCGAGGCGACCGGGGTTCGAACCCCGGGGATGCCGCCTGTAATGTTGATATTAATAAAAAACCCTTTTTTCTCATTTTTTTCTTTGCAAATAAATAAATTATGCAATAATAATATGATTAGGTCATAGAATGATTCTTTATTGGGCATTATACTTATTCATTTCAACGTTTTCACAGGTAGTTACAAAAAATGGCCGAAGAAAACATCCGTCTCAATAACATGGAAACCGAAATGAAGCAGGTCTTCGCCTTTCTTCAACGACTCTCAAAACAAGTGGAACATCTGTCGGTCCGCTTAGACCAACTCACCATGACTCCGCTTCGCTATCCAAGATCAGGGGTGATGATTCAAATGGAGCCATCCAGTGTCAACCAGAAAGATAAAGATGTCATAGTTGACAATGTCCACGAGTCTCCTGATCCTAAGGAATTGAGCACCCTATGCCCAAAGTTCATGCAACGTGAACAATACAAACCCGGTATCCCTCCACCCCAAAGGCGAAATAACAAAAAACAGTTCACGCCACTCCCCTTGCCTATGTCTCAGATCTTGCCTATTCTCCTAGAAAAGAGATTGCTTGCTAAAGAGCCAAAGCGTGAAAATCCTGAGCGTTTCCCCAACTACGATCCCTCCGAGGCATGTGACTATCATTTGGGTGAAACGGGACATTCCGTCAATGACTGTGTTGTCTTGAAAAATAAGGTCCAGAAATTGTTGGATGCAAAAATGTTTTCATTCCGCAACGCACCACCCAATCAAGCAGGAGGCGCGGATGTCGTCATTGAGTAAACTGAAGACTCAATTTTCCTCCTTTAGAATAGAGGCATATTTAATAGTTTGAATCCTCCTATGTGGGAGCTTTTCTTGCTTTCTAAAGTCTCAG